TTGTATACACAATTTTTTATATATTTTTTTTTTAAAAAAAAAATCCTAGTTAAAAACAAAGAAGAAAAGAAATAATAATATTAAATAAAAAATCAAGAAAATATTATTTCCAGTATCAAAAAAAAAACAAAAAATGTCTTTGGGAAGTAATGATATTTTATCACGTACATCTAGAAATAAGTTATATATAAAATTGGTTGAACCAACAATTATTTTACATGGATCTCCTGAAGATTCATTAGGTTGTTTTTTGAGAGGTGAATTAATTTTGAATTTAACTAAACCAACCAAAATCAAAAAAATCGAATTAACATTTCTTGGAAAAATTAGATTATTTATTCCACGTGCAGATGGTGAAATAGCTTCAAGTAATAATTTTGAAGAACGAGAAGTAATTTCTCATACTTGGACATTTCTTAATAATTTATCATCATCAAATATTGATAATGATAGTGATTCTAATTCTAATAAATCCATTCATAGTAATAATAGTAACAAAAGTCTTGTATCAAGATTATTTCATTCTCTTTCTTCTAAAAAATCGGATTCATCAAGATATACTATATTAAAAAAAGGAATTCATACTTATCCTTTTGAATTATTTCTTCCTGGTACACTTCCTGAATCGATTAATACTAATGTTGGTAGAATAACTTATAAATTATCAGCAAGAGTTTTAAAATCTGGAGTATTTACTAAAATAAGAAAGTCACAACATGTTAATATATTACGAACGATATTGGATGAATGGAATCAAGGAAAGGTCGTTTCAAATGAGTGGAAAAATGTTTGTAAATATGAAGTTTCATTTCTTAAAAAAGCTTTTCCTATTGGGGATTGTATTAATATTGAAATGAAATTAATACCAAAAGACAAGGATAAATATGATTTACAATATGTTCATATTGATTTGGTTGAAAAAGCTTCTTATAATTTGAAGACAAGACCAAAACCAAATGTACAAGAATCTACAATTTGTGGAATTAAATTACAAGATTTTATTGAAGAATGGACTGATAAAGATTCTAATAATAATTATAGTTCTCATATATTTAAATTTGACAAAAATCATTCACGTCAACAACAAAATGACAATGAAACAAACCGAGATGAATCTTTAAATTCAAAAGAGTTATGTTATCATGAAACAATTTCTTTTAGATTACCAAATTCTTCATTTTCAATTCATCCTACTTATACTTCTGAACCGATCACAATTTCTCATGATTTAAAATTCTTATTTTGTTTAAGAACTTTTACTAATAATAATCGATTGAAATATAAAAAATTCACTCTTATAGTACCAATTACAATCATAGCTAGTAAATGTAAGGATGATATTTTACCTTTATATTATGAAAGTGAAAATGATAATGATTCTATCATTTCAACTGCTTCTTGGGATGAAATTTCTTTTGATGATGTTTCTTTACCTCCTAGTTATGAATCTTCAATATATGGTAGTAAAAATAATAGTTCTGTTAATCTTGGAGTTAGTTTATAACGATAAGTGGGAAAATAAGTGGGAAAATGGGTGGGAGATTTTTTGGGAATTTTTTTTTTTTTTTTAGATTGTATAGTATATATAAATTATTTTGTACATATAAAATTAAATTATTATAATTACAAGGGGGTAAGGCGGTACATTCGATTCGATCCAATAATTTCGGTTCTGACATTTGAACAGTTCTGGTAACTGATCAAATTGCAACTATAAAACTGAGACCCGTTCGAAACGGCTCAAATAATCTGTTCGTTCGGAACCGGAATGGATCGAATCCCATCTCTAAATCATTATTTAGTCTTTAAAATTTTTTTAAAAAATTTTGACTAAACAAAAATAAAATTTTAACATTGATTTATACAATTAATGATTAATTAAAATCATGATTTTTATTTTTTTGATGATGATACATTTGATGACTTTTTTTTTTTAATTATTATTTTAAATTTAAATACATCTATTAAAAGATATCATATAAAATAAGTATAAATAATATTAAAATAATTTTTTTTTTAAAATAAGAAAAAATTAAAAAGAACGTAATAAACGTAATAATAAAATAAGTAAATACATAATAGTAATAATAATAAAAGTTTGTTTTTTTTTTGTTAAACCCAACCCAACCAAAAAAAAAATAAAAAAATTAGAAATTATGATAATTAAACTACATTTACATTCATTCTACTTCTTTCAGCTGAAGCTTTTTGTACTGCATCCAAAGTTGCCATTATTTCATCATATTCTTCTAACCTTGATGAAGCCCTAGCTAAATCATTCGTTGTCACTTTACTCCACCTGTCGTTCGTATCATCTGTCATACTATTTGGCATTTCAAATTGTGATTTAAGAATATCCAATTCATTTGTCAAGTTACTTATTATTTTTGAATTTCTTGGGCTTCTTTCTCTTATTTCATCTTCAATTCCATGATAACTATCAACTGCTGTTTCCATCTGATCTAACAACAATGTTATTTTGTTTTCTGATTCGCGTAATTTCCTATCTAATTCTTCATTTTCATCTTTAAGTTGTTTATTCTGTATTTCCAATAATACTCTTTGTTCTTTCCATCTTTCTCGGTTTATATTTGAAATTCGTCTTTCATTTAATTCTCTCAAGTTACCATTATTTTTTAATGCTTCATCGAGTTGTTGATTTAAAAGTTCATTTAATGATAGAGTTTCTTCTAATTCACCTTGTAAATTTGTAACTTCTTTTTCTGCTTTGGCAAATTGTTCTTGAATAGAATCAGTAGTTTGACGTAATGTTTTATATTCCTTACGTAAATTATCATATTCTCTTCTCAAGGCTTCATAAGATTGATTAGCCATAAGTTTTTCTTCACGGGCATGTTCAATAAATTCTGTCATTTTCTTTTCCATCTCTTCCTTTTCCTTTAAAAATTCTTCACGTTGTGTAATGATTTGTTTAACATTTGCAAAATCTTGTCTTGAAGCACGGAAACCTTTTTGTAATGAAACTTGATTTTCAAGTTCTGAAATTTTATCCTCCAATTCTTCATTTTGTTTTTTAATTGTTGATAATTGTTGTTTATATTTGGCATTTTCTGCATTACTCTTTGTTAATTCATCTTTCACTCTCCTTAACATTTTTTCCGTATTTTTAACATAAGTTGTAGCGGTTTTATAATCCGCTTTCATTTTACTTAATTCTTGTTTGGTATCATTAAGTCGTCGTTGAGTGTCACTCAATTTTGTTTCGGAAATTTTTAATTCATCTTCTAATGCTTGATTACTTGAAATATCTGGTGATAAACTTAATGATCCTCCATTACTTGCACGTTCTAATTCTTCCTCAAGGACCTTTGATTTATTTTCCGCATCATCGGCTTTTCGTAATGCGTCTTTATATTTTTTAATTGAAGCTTTAAGTTCTGCTTGAGTTTTAGCATGCATGTTTTCTAATTCTTCACAACGTGATTCCATCTCTTTAAATCGTGAAGACATTGATGCTCCTGTAAAGTTACCACCTTCTTCAAATATTCCCCTCTCAGTCATAACATCACGCATCATTCCAATTTTAACTTCAGCATCTTCAAGAGAGCGAGATTTTTCTTCCAAGATTCGTTCCTTCTCCCTTAAACGTCCTTTTGTTCTTATAATTTCATCATTACTTTCAGCCAATTTACGTTGTAATGAAGAAGATTCAGAACGAGCTTTCATAATAGAAGATTCTAATTTAAGCATTTTAACCATAGCTCCTGATAAATTATTAGTAGCTTCATTTGCGGTTTTTTGTGCTTCAACGTTAATCAATTTAAGTTCAGAAAGTTCTTGTTCTTTAAGTTTAAGTTTATCATTAGCATCTAAAGTATCATTTGTATCAGAATTAGGAGATTTTGGACTTGGAGGATTATTTAATAATTTAGTCATTCCTTCTTGCATCATTATTCTCATCGCTTCACTTTCTTTTTGAGCCTTTTCTAATAATCTTTCCATATCATTTGTTCTTGATTTTGAACGTTCTAAATCTCTCATTTTAACGTCAAGTTCGGCACGCAAACCTGCAGATTCTTTTTCTAAATTAATAATGTCTTGTTTTGATTGTTTCCATAAACTTTCAATTTCATTTGTTCTTTCATTAGCTGCTGTTAATGCAAAATTTGCTTTTTCAAGTGCTCTTTTATGTTGTTCTACAGATTGTTGAAGTTGACTTAAATGTAAATGACTACCATCATTTTCAGAACGATATTGTGCTAATTCAGCTGTTGCCTCCGTTAATTTAGCTTTTGTTTCTCTTAATGAAGATTCAGCTGAAGTGGCACGAGAATGTAAAGTTGCAAGATCTGCTAAAACACGTGCGTGAGCATTTTCAGCTTCTTCCGAACGTGTTGTAGAACTATTTGCTCGTTCTTCAGCCGATTCTCTAGAAGTTTTTTCATAATCTAAATTTTGTTGAGCTTGTATAAACCTATTTTGCATATCTTCTTTTTCAATCAATGCTTGTGTTAAACGTTTTTCGAGATCGTTAGCACGTTCTACTTCAAGACTTGCTAATTCAGATTCTGATGCATTCGTTATAGCTACCAATTTTGCTTTAAGATATACCGCTTCTTGTAATGCAGCTGTACGAGCTCTTTCAGAATCTGTAATCTTTTGTGAAGCAATTTGAGATTGACTTGCTACAGAAGCTTTTGTTTTCTTTATTTCTTGTTTAAGTTTTGCAATTGTTTCTATAACCTTAGATTTTTCAGAATTTGATCCTCCCATATCCAATAAATTATCAATATCAATACCTTCAGGTAAAGAATCTTCACATTCAACATCTAGAGTATATCCAGATTTTCTAGCTAAAGCCAATTCTGCTCTAAACCACATTTCACGTTTCTTGTAAGAAGCTATAATTTGATCACGTTCATCACATTCGACATTAATTGTACGTGTAGAAGAAGTTTCCATTTTGTCAGAAGTTGGGGATCGTAATTCAACAGGACTATTCACGATTGTTGAAGCGGAATCATAAGTCATAGGACTTGGTGGAATTATATTATTAGTATTTATTGACATTGGTGATGAAAGGGTTGGTGATGAAAGGGTAGGTGATAATCCTTTAACATTAGTCGTACCATACGGAGAAGAATTTGGAGGTCGAGGAGCTTGACGTGGATTTTCAAATATACTTTGTTTCTTAGCACTTCTTGATTGTAGAGAATTAGAATTATTGCTTTCACGAAAGTTCTCGGCACTACGTTGTGATGGAATTAATGGTCTTAAGATACCACTAATATTACTAAATGGAGAAGGAGTTTGTTTTCGAATATTCTCAATACTAGAATTTGTACCGTATGGTATAGAACGTTGTTGAGGAGATACAGAACGTTGTTGAGGTGAGACGGAACGTTGTTGAGGTGAGATGGGACGTTGCTGAGGTGAAACGGAACGTTCCATATAAGTGATTTGTTCGGGAGGATTTCCTTTCGAATCTGACATTATAATCGAATTCATGTCATATCCTTTTGGAGATGATATACTACCATTTGTTGTTGTTTGACGAAACGGTGAATAATTAGGACTTCTTGAATATCCCTGTGGGCTCATCCTAGACTGAATTTGTTGTTGTGCTGAAGAATAAATTCCTCCTCCTTCCACATTTTCTGGTGGCGGTGTTATCAGAGAAACTAAAGAACGAGGGGATGTTGAATTTTGTGATTGTATGGTACGTATTTCGTAAGGTGAAATTTGTTCATCTTTTGGCATTGAACTTTGTCTTGGTGTTGGAGTTACGTATCGTGGACCTCCATCACTATCAATAGAAGATTGAGGGGTTGGTGAAGATATTGGTGATTTGGGAAATTCTTTAGGATTTGGCGGTAATCCTTGCTGTGGACTTTCAGGTAGTGATGTTAATGATGGATATTTTATTTTTGCTAAATTTGTATATATATTTTTATTAGTAAAATGTTAAAATATATAAAAATTAAATGAATGAATTTTCGATAGTTACATGTATCTAGTATATGTATTATTGCTTCTTCATCAGGTTTAGGTGAGTTTCCAGATTCCCCACCGAATACATATATTTTATTTTGTGCAGTAGTCATTGTATGCCTATATCTTGAAGATGGAGCAGGTCCCATTTTTTGAAACATGTACCATCTCTTATTAGTTATACGAAAAGCTAAAAAAAAAAAAACAATGAAATATATAAATGTAAATATAAAATCAAATAAAAAAAAAAATTACAAATATTTTTCTTGAAATAAAATAGAATTCTACCAGTCAAATCGCCCAATTCTTGTTCATCGTGAGTTCTACCACCAAACACGTATATCACGTCATCAACTAACGCGGATCCATGATTATAACGCGCAGATGGAATAAATCCTGTACATGTCAATTCCGTCCATATATTCGCTCGAATATCATAACACCATATATCATTATAACATTTATTCTCATCAATACCACCAAATCTATTGAAAAAAAAAAAGATATTATAACCAGAATCTTTCTTTAAAAGAATTCGAACCATAAAACAATAAAAAAACATACATATAAATTTTTTCTTTATGTGCAAAAGAAACATGACCAGAACGACAAGGTGGGGATTGATTATTTGGAACAATAAAATCCCAAGATGCATCTATAAAATTAATTAAAAAATATATATATATATATATATATATTAATATAAAAGGTTGAATGATAAAAAATACTTAATTTTTTTTGTGAAAAAAAAAAAATTTATAATTACTTGATTTCACAAGCTTATTGAAAAAGTTCCACTTACGCGTTTTTATATCAAAAGCAACCAAATCGTTTAAATAACGTCCTACATGTTGACCACCAAAAATATACATTTTTGTTCCAACAACAGATACGGAATGTCCATGACGTGCTAACGGAAGTGTTCCATGAACACTAAGTTTATTCCAAACTTTTGATTCTGCGGGTAATTAATAATAAGGAAAAATAGAAAAATTTTTTTTTGTTTATATTTTTAATTTTTCTATATATAGTAAATAAATTCAATCACAAAGTATTATTTATGCATATATTATGCATATTGTCATCAAATTTGAAACGTTTCTCTGATTTACCAGTATCAAGTATATACAAATTTTCGTCGGCGTTATTTGTGGATTCATCGATTAATCCTCCAAAAACTAATTAATAAAGTTTTTTTTTCAAAAAGGTTAAAAAAAAAAAAAATAAAATAAAAATTATGTTATTTGACGAATTTTTTATTTTTTATTTTTTATTTTTATTTTTTTATTTGAATTTGCTTGAATGAAAAAATTTTAAGATTTTTTATATTCCGAAACCGATATATGCAGTATTACTTACCAATTACATTTTTCCCAATATTTACATGAGTATGACCACTTCTCGATGAAGGTATATCTCCAGAAGTAACAAAAGCAAGAACATTAAGAGTATCTATTATGAATTCGAAGAAGATATTTTTGAATAGTTTAATATAGTTTAAAATAGTATAATATAGCATAAAATAGTTTTAAAGGTAAAAGTTTAAAAACTTTATCAAATAAATTTAATTTATGCGAAAAACTGAGAATTTTTTTTTTTTTTACTTACTGACTTCTACGACAAAAGCTTCATTTCTAGGTTTTCCTCTAACAATCCCGCCAAATAAAAAGAATTCATTATCGGTAGCACTCTGACTAGCAGAATGGCCATAACGGGGAAACGGATTAGATATTGATATTTTTTTTTGTGACCAAGGATACGATGTGCCTGTTTGTTTCCGTCTTAACACACTCATTTTTTTTTTTTTTTTTTTANTTTTTAAACCTTAATTATTTATAAATTATTGCATTTATTCATATATATATAAAAAAAGAAAGAATACGAAAAGAAAGAGTGTAGAAAGTTTTTTTTTTTAAGAAAAAAAAAATTTTATTTGCAACTGCGCAAAATTTATGACGTATTTATGCGCTTTTGTGCAGAGATTTTTTTTGAAGAGAGAAAAAGAAAAATGAGGTTTAGTAAGTTTTATATATAATTTTTTTTTTTTAAATGGTGAAAAATTAGTATTTGTTCCAATTGTGGTTACTTTAAAAATTTTTTAAAACCCATTTTTTTTCCTATTTCATAGCCAAACTCGGAAAGATTATTTAAATGGGTGCGACAACAAATATACAGTATAATGTAAATCTTAAAAGTCTCGGTAACCCAAATATCGTAATGATAGTTTCAAAGTTTTGTTACGTCTGAGTAACCTTAGTTTTACTCAAGTTAACTTTTTATGGGTTCAAGGATTCCAATTTGTTAAGGTATAAAAGAAAAAAAACAATCTTTCTTCGATTATTTTAAAATACCCTTTGTTTATAAGTACATAATAAGTAAGTAAATGTATGCTTTTACTTTTTAATTCCCAGAATCATTATCCTGAAACATAATAAATAATTTTCATTGTATATAGGTATATAGAAGAATTTTCTTACAATAAGACTAATTTCGAAAGCAAAAAATTTTTCTTATGAAAAATTTGGTGGGGAATAATTTAGATACACTAACTAATATTAGAAAATTTAATGCTATAATCTTCTTTTCGGATTATTAATAAGATGGTGGCATGGTGCATTTCACACGTGGAAAGATTTACAGCAGCAGACTATTTTAAAAATTCAAAATTCAAATAAATGTACACTATTTACCCCACAAGAATATATAGGAGAAAAAAAAAAAGAAATAAATAATGACTCCATTCTCCATATGATTTTTAAAAATGTTACATTTTTTATTAATTTTGTATAACACACATTGTTCCCTATTTTAGACGAAACATAAAAAAAAAAAAATCTTGGGTACTTTCTATAGATGTCATATTTCTATAATAGGAACCTTATAATTGAATTAATAATTATCACAGAATATTAAGGCTATTTGCAATATATCACAAAGTGAAAGTATCCATTTTACCGGCTTTTTTAAAGTCAACTTTTAAGTCATCCAATTCGGTTAATTATGCGAACGGTTCGTTCAAAGGTTACTTTAAAATAATTAACAACTTTGACTTCTTTTGGATATGAAATAATTCTGAGGTCATTATGAAGTCACAATTAGAAATTTGACGAAAATCTTTTTATTTATTTTTTTAAAGAAAAAGAAAAAATTATTAATCGCGTAATTACTATGATCGTCAGTGATTTTTATTAATTATGATTTTACCCGTGATCGCTGTCGGGAACTTTCCCGCTTTTAGCTTGTGATTTTATAATTTAATTTGTCCCAATTTGATATAATTTCGGCCCGAATAGAAGAAATAATTACTAACAGAACCAAACCGCAGTTATTTCGGCACGTGCCGTATTAGAAGATCGGTATATGGGGAGAAACCTCTCGGTTATTACAATATTATCGAAAGAAATTCATTAATCATATAAGTTCATTTAAGAAATATTATATTTAAAAAAATGAATTCCTAACTGATTGAGTTTGGAAACTCTAGGAACTTAAATTTGACCAGAATTTGCACCAAATACAGAGAGAGACCTCTTTATTCATAATGCATGTTTCAATTTGCAAGCGCATGCACATCGCTCTAAAAATACTTTTGAAACATTAAATATAAAAATTTTTCATTTTTATATATTTGGTGTTATTAAATTGGTTTGAAGTAACCGGGTTTAAAATGTTCACTAGAATTGAATTAAACTTAGCCGTTTTCAAAATGGTCGACGCAGTTAAAAAAAAGAAACCCGAAAACCCGACGATAACCGAACAAAAAACGGACGATAAAAAAACGGATGAAAATCGGACGAATATTGATATTCGAATATACAATCACAAATAAACTGCCTCAACCATTTTGAAACGGTGATAATAATATTAATATTTAATAAATTCATAAATTCAAAAAAAAATAATAGAACCGGATCCAAGTCAGCGGACCGTTACCCTCTCCGATGATCGTATTAATATCACAATTTAATTTTAGACAGTCAGGGTTATCATATATTAAATCAAGTTTTTACAGGTGATTTTCAAAAGGTTGAAAATAAACGGTCTTTTAGCTGATTGGCATGACCTTCAAATGACATGTGATTTTATATGTATTTGAGAATTTTTAAAAAAATATTCGCATAATAATTATTACTATATATTGCATATTTACAATAATGTAATACTTATCTATTTTTATTTCATCGTTAAGTAATCATAAAGTTTGCAAGCATCTAATATTTTTGTTAAATATTAATTTCCACTTATTAGCACCAATAAATCCGGACCTCCGTCAGAGTTTCATCTGTACCGTATACATTTGATGACTATTAAAATATGTATATGTGTTATACGTAATTTTGCCTACCATTTTACACACTACACAATACTGTAATTTAACGCGCAACGTGGGTTATTTTTATTTAAATATAGAATGTGACCTTAATCTTTAGGTTAAAAGAGAATAAAGACGGGCCAATTACTTTTAAGTATACACTATGATTTAATTATATGTTAGTAATATATTAGTTATTTTTTTAAAAAAAACAAATTGTCTAGCATTGCATAAATATTATATTCCTTTATTGTTTTAAGATTCGGTTATAATATTTGTATGTATAATATAATTAATATATAGTACATTAAAATTACCCTATATTTAAAATACCAGATATATCAGGTACTACTACTATACAAGGGGTATACATAAGTTTGACCGGAATCAAGCACCAATCTGCTAGCATTAGGGAGAATATAACAAATTAAGTTAAATTTTCTTTATCCTTTGAGTCTTTTGAGGCATTTTTTTTAAAAAAATTCCAAAAATATAAAAAGGTGAAATAAAAATTCCGGAAAAAATTAAAATAGAATTTGTGTTAAGCCGTTATACCCGTTATCCGCGATGGACGAGTAAACAAAAATAATAAAAATAGATTAATTAGCAGTTCACATTTTATACATTTTATAAACTGGGCAATGAACTGACTGGGATAGACAGATAATGGAGCAATTAAAAAGCTTAACAACATTTTATTATTGGTCCAGAATTAACAAATTAATATTCGGCCAAAATTTCAAGAGAAAAATTGCAAGTTAAATTTTTGCGACGGTAATAATTTATTTATACTACGGAGGTATTGAAAATAGGCACTAAATAATTTGAAAATTAAATTTATTTCAGTTTAAAATGTTAAACATAAAATAACGCGAAGATCAAAAAATACCAAACATAAAATTGAACACATTTGAATACATACTTGTTATTCCATGGGTATCAATGAATAACTGAAAGCCTTGGGGCCCCCGAAGGAAGGGAGCATCGGTGTATAAGTATTTATTAGATACCCATGGAATAACGGTTGTGTATGACGTATACACCAATGGATTTTATAATTTTTTTATACCGGCGGAGTAATTTACAAAAAAATTCATCGCTGTATACATAATACCGATGGGATAAATATAAAAAGTAACTCAAAAATGGGCATATAACCTTCTCAATCTTTCTGATTATATGATGCATTTCTTTAGAAATTTGCAAAATTTGCCAAAGTTGTGAAAATAAAAAAAGAAAGAATGCTTAAGCTTAATGTTTTTTTTCGATAGTAGGGGTTCTTCTTATTAAACCTAATAAACCTAATAAACCTAAATAAACCCAATAGTCAAATGTTATTTATAAATTATATATTATCTTCGAGACTTTTTCTTCCGATACCCTCTCAATAATAAAATACTTCAATTAGAACCCGGAAACGTACAATTAAATATAAATTTAACAAAATATCAAAATATACAGCAATTCATAAAAAATCAACATCAAAAATTTTAACATATAAATTAAAAATTAAAAAATTAAAAATAGGTGATTTAATAAGTTTTTTTTTTTTTATTTTATTTTTTTGAAAATTAATTTGTGTCTACCGTATATTGATTTGCAATGAGTCTACAATTGACTACAATTACAAAATTATAAATGATTTTAAACCCGGAATTTGAAAGAATAATTAAAAGCTAAAGTTAAAATCTTAATTAAAACCCAATATGAAACATACAGTATAATCTTATTGGATCTTCACCTCAAAAAATAAATTTTTACGAGTTTGATCACAGTAAGATAACCTCAGCATCACAAAACTGGTCAACGTGAATTCTTATTATGCCTCTCGAAATACCTAGAATAAGATCAGATCTTTTCAAGTTTTTCTTAAGTATATCTTATCTAAAATATTTTGATTAACACAATATATAGGATCACAATTAAGAAACTTCTGATACCCAGCTAACATCATATATGATATATCTTAGTGATCGCGACTCGGCTCATCTCGTTTTACTGTAAGCTAAGCTTACTTTCTTAATCTAAAAGAATAATCATAGAAACAGAAGCAAATAAAGGTCATTAATATAAAGGAACGTTAAGAATTCACTTATTTGAAAATAACGGATTAATCTAACTATTACGTGTTTAAATAATTATGTTAAATGATATTATAAATTTTACCTCACTTGATGATGTCCTAGAAACCATAACCTAATCTTACTCTCTATAAGAATAGGAAGTTTCATTCGGGCAAAGAGAACGTAAAGAAGAAAAATTAGAAATACCTTAGAATATTTATATTCAAGATCTCTACTTCATCAATTTCCATCAATTGAGAGCGTTGATGATACTGTTATTGTAGAAACCATAGTTACTGTTTCAAACATAAAATTTGCAACAGCAACGGATGATATTACATACATCAATGGTTACTTCGACTGTTATGCCGAGGAGCCATAACGACATCAAAGAGAAGCGCAATATTTTATCTTCTTGATCAAGAAAAAGATATTCACATATTTGAAACGAAAAAATGACTTTAGAAAAAATTCTTCCTCCTCCCCTCCTCCCCGTACATAATGTACATATCAATCATTGATGTTGGTATGTTACAATCGATTACTATTTCATATGGGATATTATGAGATGATGAAATGATGCGCTGAAGATAGATTACGCTATTGTAGATGAAAGATGGTATTACAGTAAATCTTGATGTTGTAAGAACGGGAAATTGCGCGTGATGAAGAATGTGCAGATGAGAATGAAGAGAAAGAATTCAGGTATTATAACAATTATATAGGGTTTTAGTTTAAAGTGATATATTTGTTTAATCAATTATCACTTTTTTATTTTATTTTATTTATTTTTTTTTTTACTTGTTGATATTCTTGATTCGATGAATTTTTTATGGCTAAGTTAAATTAATTTTAATTGTTGTTGCCCAAACCCACATGAAAATACCTCGTTCATTGTGACTGTACTCCAAATCATTTTTGAGTGGAGTCCACGACCCCACGATTAAGTTTTTGTTATAGACAATGAAATTGTGGATATTTTTTTTTTTTAAAGTAGGAATAATAATGTGTAACTAGAATAAATAATGCGCACGTACATGTCGTATCTGGCTATTTAACGGCCAATGCTGAAAGACTGATAGTTGCAGTATTTTAACCATTTAAAGCGAAAGAAACTATTCCACTTATTCAATTTCAAATAAAAAAAATAAATATAAATATCACGTGATTTTAAAGGACAAAGAAATCGCGGGCACAGAGAAACCATTAAATTTATAATAATTGTGTCGTGCAAGCAGTAGCACCTGTCAAAATTTTGAAGGTGGGGGAGGGGAGATAAATTAATTTTTTGATGTTTTATAATGGAATACATTCATTATCTGTTATGTGTGTGAAAATTTTTTTTTATTAACATCCATTACATCCATTACATTCCATTACATTCATTCAATCAATTACATAACCAAAAAAAAAAAAAAAAATTGTTTCAGATGAAATTTTATCACAAATAAAATAACATATTATAAAATCTCCGTGTCAAAGATAGTTCAGCGAAGTAAAATCAATTGTATAAAGTTTCATGCGGGGAGAAACAATATCAAATATTATTTTTAGGTATAATTAAATCCTTTTTTTTTTTTACATGGCTTAACATTAAGCCTAGTATAAATTAATTCTAAAAATATTTTAATCAAAAAATTTTTTAAAACAGATTTGTTTCAGATTATGCGCAGAAAAGTACTCGCTCCTATATTTTTTACGCCACCGCATGTCAAGATGCTACATCGCATTTATGTATTGTCTTTCATTTAGAATGACTGGACCGAAATAGAATAACAGATTTCTTTGTCAATATTTTTTCTATAACATTTAACGAATTTACTACATTTCGCGTACATTATTATTATAATACGTAAAATCGATTTACAGAACATTTCACATATTTTATATCATTGTACAGATTTTTATACGCCTCGCTAATTACTTCTTTTGATTTGTTTTTCATTTTGTGGGCGCTCAATATTCATCCGCAAAATTGGACTAGGTATAACCAAAATTTAGGTTCAGTTTACCCAGTCCCAAACCTAATTTTTACAATGTACAATATCGTGTAACTTTTAATTGTGATACATGTGAAAATGTCGTAAATTGGCTAAATAAATTGGAAAAGACTAGCCAATTAAATATTATATTTATTTATAGCTTGTGTTACAACTGCGCTTTCATGACTTAACCTACATCACATTATGTATATGAATCGTTTTAATGGCAACATGCACAATTTGACCCTTTTTCTTCGGTTTTTACCACTTCAATCTTATCTTGAGATGCAGCATCCTCCGGTTTACTAATAATTTCTACATTCAATTCTTTGTCATTTGAATCTTTAACATTAACTTCAATTGAATCCTTTAATTCTTTATCGCAACAAGTATTTTTCTTCGTCTCATCATTTTCTTTCTCATTTTTTTCTAATTCTTTATCGCAACAAGTATTTTGTTTCTTCGTCTCATCATTTTCCTTCTCATTTTTTTCTAATTCTTTATCACAACAAGTATTTTTCTTCGTATCATCATTTTCTTTCTCATTTTTTTCTAATTCTTTATCACAACAAGTATTTTGTTTCTTCCCTTCACAACATTTCTCACTTTTTTCATTAAAGATTTCATTATTAGAACAACAATCAAGATTCTTTTCTTTTTGAATATCTTCTTGATTAATTGAAATATTTCTCTTTGTAGAAGAATTTGTAAATTTACTAAAACTTAATTTAATAAAATTAAAATTTTTCTTTTCAGTCTTTGTATCATCATCATCATTTTCACAATGTTTACAACAACCTCCATTAAAATCTTTACTTCTAGCCCATAAAATCATATCTACACCTTCTTTAGCGAATAAAACACCAAGAATAATAGCAGCAGCAGAATCTAACCACCAACCACCTTTCCATATCATATAAAGTAAACTTCCTAAAAATAATATGAAGGTAATTTTAATACAAGCTAAAGAACATTGAGCTTCAGATGCCATTGTAGAAGAATTTAACATTTTAGCAAGATATTTTTTACTTAACCAAAGAAAACCCATAAATGATAATGAAATACTTGAAATAATTAAACCTGCTATAGCAGTTTCAGGTTGTCTTTTTTGTATTAAAGAAACAGTTGCATCTGAAATTGTAGCCAAAGATAATAAAATGAATAATAAACCAATTCCCATAGTACATTTTTTTTCTTTACTTAAATTTTCTTCTAAAATTTGAGTTGCTCTTTCTTCATCAGGTTTTGATTCAGTTAAAAATCTCCATAATACTAAACATGCGGATGTTACTTCAATAAATGAATCCACACCAAAAAATACCAAACTAACTGAATCATCCTCACTACCATAAAATATTGAAACTGCTCCTTCAGCTATATTCCACAAAATAGTAAAAATACAAACATATACTGCATATTTTAAAAGTCGTGAACGAGAAATTGAATCATTTTTTGAAAAGAATTTCATTATAAAAAAAAATTTGAAAATTTTTTTTTAATTTCGTTAAAAATGGAAATTCTTTTATAAAAAAAAAGAAGAAAATAAAAGAAAAAAAGAAATTTCTATATTATGATCATCTGGATAACACAATGTTTCTGCGCAACATTACGAAGATTCTATTAATTTAACTATAAAGAGGATGTTACAATGAATACAATGAATACAATAAATTTGTGGATATCCATCCTTTCAAAGAATAAATATATACGTCAACCTCTGAACGTAATAAATTTTTTTTAATTTCCGCTTTCTAGACATTTGTATCGGATACTTATTTAATTTACGTTGAAGAATGCTTATTAATCAGGATAATCTTTAATAACTTAAAATGACAATCTTTAATGTACACATGTATTAAAAATGATTAATTGCTTATTCTCCTTTAGCGCTGATTCGGAGAAATTCCATGGAATATAGGATTTACAATGAAATATACCATATTATTCTGTCAATCTGAAAAAAAAATCATTACCATATAATAATACATAATCTTAACGTAATAAACGTAATGTATCACACAATAATAACCATAATAACCATCATATACATTATATATGAACCAAACCAAATTTTATTTCTCTTTCCAATTTTCGTTAAATCATGTTAAATTATTTGTTATTTCACGTGAGCTAATTGGTTCTTGGCACTTAACAAATTTAGTTTCATACGATGAAATTTATTAATTGGTTCCCTACTGATATTACCTAATGTAGATCAAAAATTTTCGATTAAAAAATCAGGTAATCGGTGAATCAAAATTAAAATTATCATTTAATTAATAAAAACCCTTACCCTTCAAAAATTAAGTATCGTTTATCATATCATTTTTTTTTTCTTGATTTTATAATTTTTTTATTATTTTTTATCACGCTTCTCTTTTCGCTTAAAAAAAAAAAAAAAAAATATGAAAATTGATTCTGATATAGAAAGTTATACTTCATCGACTGAGATAAATACGGAATGGATGGACAACATTCCAACATATGAAGAATCTCCTTTAGTTCCTGACTTAGGAGAAGGAGAAGTTAATCTCAATTTATTTTTAAAGTTATTAGTTTAAAAAAAGGAATTTCTAACTCTAAATCGTTAAATCGTTTAAATATAGATTGATCATTCTTTAATGCAGGTAAAGTTATTTCAAGTTGAATTCCTTAGTATTATTCTTTATTTTTAACACTATTTTTTTTGGGGAATAGCATTATTCTTATAAATATATGTGTCAAGGAAATTTTACTTCACCTGTGAAAAAAGAAAATTTAAAGGTATTCATTCATATATTTTTAAAAAAAAATAACGCGTATTTTTAATATAAACAATAAATCTAATATGAAACATAATATTTTTAGAAATGTTTGGAAATAGGGTAATTTATCGTTTTAAAAAATATCACAAATTTACTCTTGAAACTTTAAAAGAATGTTCTTTTTTTTTATAGTTACGGAAGTGGAATTTGGATGATGGAAATGGCATCGTGAGTTCATTCTACTTATATAATTAAAGTTCTCAAACAATCAATCATTATTTATTAATATAACGTATTGTTTCAACTATTTAGTGAATACCCCAATTGCAACTTTTATGGTATCGATATACAACCAAAAACCCCTGATTCTACTTTTCCCAATAATTGTGAATTTATAAAGGATAATGTAAAAAGTAAGAAAATCAATTGCGTTCATTAATAAAAAAAAAAAAAATTTTATTTAAAAAAATTTTATTTTAAAATATTTGTTCTATAGAAGGAATTCCGTTTCCTGATGAAACATTCGATTTCGTATATCTGAGAATGACTATGATTTACATTGAATCCAACAAATGGAAACCAGTTATTTCAGAAATCTTTCGAGTTTTGAAAAAAGGTGGATGGGTCGAATTTTTGGTAATTATACTTGTAAAAAAAAACCATATTATATATATATATTTACGCGTTCAAAATTATTAATTTATTATTATATGTAGGAAACTGATATGACTTTTAAGTAATCTTTTTTTTTTTTTTAAATATATTTAATATATATAAATTAAATATATATATAAATTAAATAAATATATTTATCATATTTACCAATAATTACTTTTCTTTCTATATTTAGATCTTCAGGAAAAATTTTGAAGTCAATAATGAAATTCTGGATTGACATGTTTGAAGCAAAAAAAATTGACCCTAAACTTACAAGGCAACTTGGAACAATACTTTCAGAAACTGGATTCATTAATGTATTAAATAAAAAGTATTCTCTTCCAATAGGGAGTTGGGCTGGGACGGTAATATATATTTAATAAATATATATTAATAAATAAATATTTTATATATGCATATTATATATACATATATATATATATATATAATACAAGTTATATCAATATACTTATACTTTTTTATTTATATTTAGTTGGGAAAAATTCGAAGTCAATCCTTGGATATTTGGTTATATGTAACGGCTGATATCAGCTATAAAAACTTAGGATTTGATACTAAAGAAGAATATTTGAAACATATTGAAAATCTTGAAACTGAATATTCTGAGTTTAAACCTTATGGTGATCAATATATCGCTTATGGACAGAAACCATTAAATTAACCCCATTATGTTATTATTATTTATTATTATAAATTGAATAAAAATTTATTCTTATTGTGAGAAATTTAGTTTATGTTACGCGTGTATACTATGTGTTATTCATTCATTTTATTTGATCGACAAAATATGACAAAATGGAAAATTTATTGATGAAATTTGGCTATTCAATAAGTCCCAATTTGGAAGGTATACTTGTACTCATTTAAATTCGAAGCCAGGGTAAAAAAAAACCTAAATAATTTAAACGGGGGCGTTAACTTAAAATATTATTTATATTGAAACAAATATCACATATTAACGGAATATAATATAATCCGTGAATTGGTGATAAAACAAAGACACCAATAAAAGATCTATTTAATTTGGGACGGGGATTGACGCGTACTCATTGTTATTAAATAAAGAGATTGGATATAACAACGAACAAAGAATTTTTTTTATTGTTATTTTATTGTTTTAAAATAAATTAATAAATTATACATTGTATATAAATTCGAATAATGGAATAATCCAAATTATATACATATCTATTGTGTGATACATTTTTGTCATTTTCCTATAGAATCGCGATTTTTTGAAAGTTTCGCATGCTAGATTATAGAATATTTATTTAATTGAATAGAATATTTTTAATTGAATAAAATATTTATTTAATTGGATAGAATATTTTTAATTGAACAAAATATTTATTTAATTGGATAGAATATTTTTAATTGAATAGAATATTTTTATTTATTTAATTGGATAGAATTGAATAGAATACTTTATTGAATAAAATATTTTTTATTTACTTGAATATTTTTATTTTATTTATTTTATTTAATTATTTATTTATAGAATCTGATTTGAATACCCAAAATTGGAATTCCTTTTAAATTTGTTTATTGTATTATTTAAACCACTTTTTCTTTTTCTTTTTTTTTTTTTTTGAAAGTTGAACGAAAAAATGTAATTATCCCATATTCGGAATACTTTGGCATGAGAAGATATTCTTTTCATTATCTATTTGTCATCTTTTTTTTATTATTATTATTGATTTATCATCTTTTTTTTATTATCTATTTAAAATCTTTTATATTATCGATTTCAATCATCTTTTATTAGTGATTTATTATCTTTTATCATTTTTTTTATTATTTTTATTATCGATTTATCTTTATTATCGATTTATTATCTTTATTATCGATTTATTATCGATTTATTATCGATTTTTTATCTTTATTATCGATTTATTATCGATTTATTATCGATTTTTTATCTTTATTATCGATTTATTATCGATTTATTATCGATTCGCCATTTCTGCCGTAAAAAATCTAGAACGCCCGAATATACAATAATAATAGTAAAGTCGGGGTCCCCCTCCCCCTTACCGTAGGAAAAAAAAAAAACAAAAACAAATAAATCTGATTCGAAACACTGTTGATTAAAAGAGATAATTCATTTAGAAAAGAAAAAAATCATGTGAAATTGTTGAAATGAAATAATAACGTGTAAAAAGTAACCCTTACAGTTTAAAAAAAAAGTTTATTCCGTAATTTTTTGGTAATATTAATACTGAATTTAGTATTTTTATGGATTTTTCTTGAATTAAAATAATTTAATTAACTATATTTATCTATTTGCATTAAATTTAAAAAAAATTGCATAAGACATGCGACGAATACAAAAAACTTTAAAATATTTTAGGTTTACTTAAGTTTTTTTATTACGAATAGTTTTTTTTTTTTTTACAAACATCAAATTAAAATCAGTTAACAATCTTCAACGGTTATTGCCGTTAAACGTTTCAATATTAATTAAAGTTTTAGATTTCATTCATTCATTTAGATTTCGAACGGTTATTGCCGTTTAAAAAAATTCTAAGATTACTTCGAATTATTTTATTTACTCGTTCTTTTTAATTATTTTTAGTTAAAATTTTTTTTATTGTGTTACATTCTTAACTAATAAACTAATGTCGTTATTTTTGCAAGTTGACGTAATAAATGATTTCTTTTTCAGATTTCAAACGGTTATTGCCGAAAAATAATAATATATTTTCATTAAAGTTTGAGATTTCAACGGTTATTTCCGAAAAATATTTTTCTTTAAATCAAAATTAAATAAAGTTAGTTGATTCTTTTAAAACGGTTACTACCGAAAATATTTTTTTAAACAAACTATATTTTTAATTATTTACTTTATCGAATTATATAATTATTTATTATTATTTTTCTAACGAATAAATAGACGATCCCTTTAAAGGTTCAGCGTAAACACTGAGTTATTTATTTACTGTATTTTCTTTTAAATGAAATTTTTATTACTTAATTTCGTGCATTAATTGTAAAATCTTGTAAAAAAGAATTTAATTTCATGCATTAATTGCAAAATCTTGTAAAAAGAATTTATTCATACATTCTTGTAAAAGAATTACTTTCATGCATTAATTGTAAAATCTTGTAAAAAAATTTAATTTCATACATTCTTATAAAAGAATTAATTTCATACATTAATTGTAAAATCTTGTAACTATCTTATTGATTAATGGATAATAATTTTTTTATTAGACTCGTCAAATCAAACAAATCAATTATAGAAGATAAAATTCAGCGATTTTCCTTTTAACCACCAATTGTATAGGTTTATTTAATTTCATACATTAATTGTAAAAATCTTGTAAAAGAATAAATTTTATATATTATTAGTTCTATTTTTACAATTAAAGTTACAAAAAAAAAAAATTTCCTTACATGTTCAAATATCAGTAGTTATAGCTGTTAATATTTCTTTAAACAATTCTTTGAATCCTGGATAATCTGTTGGATTTGTTAAAATAGCATCAAATCCAGAAGTTTGTCTAACACTTGAAACATTCTCAATGAAAAATTTTAGAAAAGGATCTTTTAATTCTGGCCATTTATATGCAATAGTGAATAATCCCTCAGCTACATTATTAATATTAAGATCTCTTAATACTTCACATTTTGCTTTTTGTCGAAGTTCAGTTAAAAGATATTTATCCGCAATACAAAAAACTTGAAGTGGAGAAATTTTATGTTTTGCCAAATGATTAAATCTTAATTGATTCGTATAAAGAAATCGAAGCATTTCATAAAATGTTGTCGCATCAAAATCAGTTATTTTAATATGATAAGAAATATTTGGTAAAGATTCTGATTCAAGTATCGGTTGATTTGATAATGAATTTTCTACTTGAGATTCTGCCCATCCTCCTTGAAAGAATTTTTGAAAATATTCAGATCTTTTGGATAAAATAGTGCTACTAGCATAAATGGTTTTGTCTTGTACATCAAATCTAACATCAGCACTTTCAGTTTTATCCAATTGAGCTGACCATGCTTCTACCAAATCATCAGGGATATTTCCTTCAGGAAATGGTTCTACTTGAATTACAGGTGAAACTTCATTTTTAGAAAATTGAACCCCAATAATAATATCATCTGGAAATCTTGACGCTGAAACTGAATAAAATTCATCGGTTCCTATTAATTTTATATTATACATTAATATATTATATATTGTAAATGGTGGTTACATCTTATAAAGTAGTTTTTTTACCTATACCAGGATATTTTTTAGAGAGTCCTAATTTTAAATAAACCTGACTTTTAATCAATTTTTGAGTTTTTGGATCCTTCAGGTATAGTTTTACCATTAACTTATTACGACATGGCCATAAAGTTTCTGTATATTGTTCTTCTGGATTTTCGATTGCCCAAAGATAAACTGAATAGGTTCGTATAGATTTTATGGTAGTCTTGTATAAGTTGTATGATAAAAAAAAAATAATTTCAATATAATATATGTATAACTAAATTATATTCATAGATAAAAAGAATATACCTGAGCAAATTCCAATTGCCAATAAAGTTCCGCAGTAGTCGCAAAATTTGGCGTATAAACCTCTGATGATAAATTTCCAACATTAGAAATAGTGTACTCAAAAGTACACTCTGGAACAAAATTTTCCATGAAAGCTAAAATCGACGTTAAAAATCGACTATTACTTCAAAGCTTTTTTTTTTTTAGAAAAAAAAAAAAAAACGTAGAAATTCCTAAAAATAAACAGGGTTAAAAATGTAAATAAATATATAAACATGATTACATAGTTTATGTGACGCAGCTAACTTCCGATGTAAACATGACCAAACAAATTAAGGAAATGTGGGAATTTTAAAATTAAACAGGTTTTTTTCCCCAAAAATCATAAGCTTTTTTCTTTTTACCTTTTTTTCTTTCTTCATTAAATTTCATTAATGATGACTATTGAAAAATTATCGCGTATCGGTATTGGAATGTACCGTATGTGTTTAGGAAATAAATTAAATGAAAATGCTCTATTTAAAGCTTTAAGAAGGGAAACTGATATAAATGTGATTGACACTTCGACCAATTATTGCGATGGAGAAAGTGAAAGTTTAGTTGGAAAAGTTTTAACGAGTTCTAATGATAAACTTTTATCACGTTCTGAGATATGTCTTGCAACTAAATATGGGTATATTCAAGGAAATAATATGACTTTGTATCGGAATGGTTCATTTAAAGTATGAAGTTATGAATATTATTTTTTTTTTTTAAAAAAAAAGGTAATGAAGGAAATTAATTAAATTATGGTTACTAGAATATTCCAGATGAACATATCGTACGTTATTCTCCTAATTGTTTCCATTGCATCCATCCAGAATTTATGAGGTACGAATAAATTAAGAGTAGTAAATTAAGTGTAAATTGGGAGTATATTATGTGAAGTAACTGAGAGTAATGAGAATAAATTGAAAGTGCGAGTTAAATTGCGAGTTAAGTTGAGTTAAATTGAGAGTTAAATTGAGAATAAAAATCGAGGGTTATTAGGAACAAATTTAAGTGAGAGTGTAGTAAATTAAGTAAATTAAGAGTAAATATGAACAAATTAATTTGAGAGTAATTAGATTGAGAGTAAATCGCGAGAACAAATTAAAGTGAGAGAGTAAATAAGAACAAATTAAATTGAAAGTAATTAAATTGAAAGTAATTAAATTGAAAGTAATTAAATTGAGAGTAATTAAATTGAGAGTAATTAAAAACAAACTATTTGAGATTAAAATACTAACCCGAGAGTAAATTTTTCATAGGGATCAATTAACCCGCAGCTTACATCGTATGCAAACGAGTTATGTTGATATCTTGTTCATTCATAATCCAGAATATTTTCTTATGGATAAAATTAAATCTTCAAATGAAAATGTGAAAGGTTTGATTGTTATATAAGACTTTATAGTAGTATTATATTTGACTACAATATTTTTTTTTATTATAATAGGATATCAAAATCAAATGTTGGATAGAATCAGTCAATCATTTGAAGCGATGGAAGAAGCAATTCACAAGGGACAGATATTATCTTATGGTATTAGCTCCAACAGTTTTTCTTTAGCTGAAGATGATAAACACTTTTTGCCTTTTTATGATTTAATCGATCGTGCAAAGGAAGCTTCAAAACGCGTAAGAAAAACCGAAAATCATGGATTTGCTGCTGTACAGATGCCAGCCAATTTATTGGAAACATACGGGTTAAAAACCGCTGCAAAATGGGCAAAACAAAACGGATTAAAAGTAATTAAAACCTACTATTTATTTTATTTAATATAATAAATTATATAAATTGAGACATTAACCTTTTGTATTTACCATCCTTAAAGGTGTTTATTAATAGACCTCTTAATGCTTTTAATTCAGATGGTGCCTTTCGTTTGGCAAGTTATCCTAAAGCAAATTATGAAACTATTAAATCCTCCACAGTATCTTATCTCGAAACGTTAAGCCAAGGAAGGGAGTCAAATTCAATTCATTCTATTCTAGATTTGGTTAAACAGATGAATAATAGGCTTCCTCTTATTAAAAATGTATTTGAATGGGAAAATTATCGTATAGCAGGTAATAACATAAACTTAAGCTTACAGTATTATAAAACTTACTTAAAACTTACGGTATTGTTTTGTTCTTTTTGTTCTTCAAAGTTTATTCTTCTATTAGACAGTTTCGAGAAGATATCGACATTGATACGGTATTAAGGCCATTTTTGGATGCTTTTGAAGCCGAAGTAAGATACCGTGGATCACAAGCTGTTAGGAATTATTTGATTGAAAAACTTCATATTGAAGAATTGAAAGATGAAAATAAGAGTATTGAACAAGTTGCTATGAAATTTTTATTTAATAGCGGTGTTGTAGATGTGGTATTGATGGGAATGACTCGTGAAAAGTATGTTGATTTTGCAAAAGAAATGATTAAACATTAAATGACGGTTGTAATTGTGGACTTGTAGTATTTGGTTATTGTTGTTATTGTTGTTTTAAGTTTTTAAGTTGCCTTTTTAAATTTGTTGCGCGCGTAATGACCAACAGCACTTTTAAATATTTTCATAATTGTATTTTGAGAGTATCTCCATTATTATTAGACGATAGTATATATGACGAAATTAAAAAATTATCTTGTTGTACTTTTATATTGACGATTACCTTAATTGTGCACTTTTATATTTGACGATTACACTTTTATACGACGATTACCTTAATTATGCACTTTTATATTCGACGAAATTGATTAATAATGTTACTTTCATCTTATTAAAAATTTATCTCAAGAATAACCTTATTTGACGAAATTAAAATTAGAGAATAGCGTTACTTTCATCTTATTTGACGATGTTAAAATTATACTTTCATCTAATTTCGCGAACTAAATAATAAGAATAACGTACTTTTTATCTTTTATGACAAACGTACTTTTTATCTTTATCTAACGAATTGGAATGTGTTCGCTACTGCGCAATCTATAAAAACGTTATATAATTGGTTAAAAAAAAATTCACTACTGTGCCTCAAATATGAAGAATAAACTGCGGAAGTCTTCACCTTTATCATTTTAATAAGTTATCTTACATAAAATTTCAACTGAATGTTTAATAATAAGTTTATCCAATCAATTATTAGAAAATTTCGATTCAATATGAAAAAATAAAAATCCAAAAATTTTTTGTGGAATGGCGCAGCTTCTCCCTATTACATATAAATTTCCAAATTTTATTTTTTTTTTCAATAATATTCTCTTTAAAATTATAATTATTATAGATGTAAGTTATTATTTATCCATTAAAACAAAATATCTATTAAAAAAAGGGCGATTCCACGTAATAAAAATTGAATACATTTCGTCATCTATGATATCATAACGCGTCAAAGCAAAATAAACGCGTATCAAAACGTCATGAAAATTATGCTATAATCAAGGAAAAAATAACGTCATAATATCCATAACAATAAGCATAATAAGTTTTAAGATATTAATGATGACTAAATTCCAAAACTATCGATTTTGATGATAATAAGATAAACATATCATTTACGTCATATCCGATAAGAGCTTTAAACTTTTCTATATCTGCATTATATGTATTATATCTCATACTCCATTACACTGATTTCCACGCTTGAATATGATATCACACACATAAACGACCCAATGATGACCCATACACTGTGAATTTCCAATTTGTTACCCTTGCATTATTTAACATTATTTACAAATCAAATATAGAAATTGGGTTGATGTCTTAACTAATAACTTCATTTAACTTCATATAACTTCATGTAACTTCATGTAACTTGATGTAACTTCATGTAACTTCATGCGACTTCATGCAACTTTATGCAACTTCATGTAACTTCATGTAATTCATGTAATTCATCATTTTTTTGGTCGAAAAAAGTATTCTTAATATGGTAGAATTTAATAAATTCCAAACGCGCCCTTTAATAATTTCTTTGAAAACATATACAAGAATCACGTAGTTATCTTATTCATCTTATCTACCCTTTCTTTTTCTACTGATAAATTTGTTCTATTATATCACCAGAATATTTTGTCCACTTAGAGAATTTTTTTTTCGATTTCAGGAAAACAACGCTTAAATATCTTTGAATATCATGTTTTCTAATTATTCTAAACAGAGTTCATTGAATTCATTACTTTGATAAATTATTCATAATATGAGTAATAAAAAATATACGCGTCATCAAAGTTGAAAGCATAATATATTGTGTATTATCGCGTAATGTAACATTACATATTCAATATTTTCGTTGATGATATAATATAATGAGAAATACTATTTATAATACTTAATATACTTGAATACAATACTATATATTATACCTAAATTCTGTAAACTTTAAGTAATAAAAATAATAAGTATTTGTTTTTTTTAATAACTGACGAACGTTTGTAAAATACCTTTTTGTTTTTAATGCACATTAATGACATTAATGAAATTTCGAATTTAAATCTATCGTCAAATAAAAACCATTTATTGTTAATACCTTCATTTTTTATCTCTAAATTAGAAAAACGAAACAAATATGTAAGTTCATTTTACTTCTATATATAGAATATTTATATGCAAACTAGTTTATTGTTTTAATCTCTAATTAAGAAAAACGTGGTAAACGTGGTTCTTTCACATTTCTTTTTTATTTACATAATTATAAATAAGGGAAAAGATTATATATAAAAAAAACTATATAATAAAGGTTTATTATGGGGTTAATATTTTGAATAGAAAAAAAAAAAAAAAACGAATTTGAAAAAGGTTGGGAATAAATGCCATTTTTATATTTGAAAAATTGCAAACTTTTGGTACCACAATTCAATTAAAAGATTTAATAAAATACATATAAAAAAAAAATTAATTTACTTTTTGACAGTTTAATTTTTTTTTCGATGAATCTTTTTTTGGTTTCGTATTATAAGTTAAGTATTATAAGAAGAATTAAAAAAAAATTGTTTCTAGATAGAAGAGTAGAAGGTAAATCAGCTAGAAAAAAAAAAAAAATTTTAACATACACAAGATTATGAAAGTTACAATTTAAGAAATATGAAACACTAAAAAAAGATGAAACACCAATTAAGAAGCTTTGATTTTTGCGTAATATTCTATTGAACATAATAAAAAGTATTTTTTTTTTTTTAATTAATTTATTTATTTATGTTTTTTCATCAAATATTCAATATTATTCATTTATACACGGTAAAAAATAAAATAAAATATCTAAAACAATGAAGGGGACGGGAGATCCCGCCCCGTTACGCGCACCACGATTTTATTTCAAGCTTAGAATATCATGAATATGGCATTACTATAAGTCTAAAACAAGTAAGTATATTAAGATAAAAATTATGTGATTTGTGTTTTTTCTCGTGATACTGAAGAATAATATTTGTTTACAAGAATAATTATCTAAATTTTTTTAGTATTGTACTTTTAATAAGTTTTTTTTTTTTTTTTTACCCCTTGATAGTCATTCCCACGCGTAATCCTTGTTGACTTTTTCGGGGTTATAGTTATTTAATTGGTAGAGTTATTTACGCTAATATGGCACAGGGCTGCTGAAATTGTTCGTGTTTGTACTTTCCATCGATGCTCAATAAAAATTTTGTTACATGAAGAGATACATAATCTTATGATAAATCAAACATCTTGCGGATTTTCTCATAATGTTTTCTAGTAATCATATTGTTCTTGTGACTTTGACTTTATAAAGCTTAACATTTAACAGAGGATCATCTCGACTATTCTTACTTGAGTCGCGCTAAAAACTCGAAAACGGAAAATTATCGTAGTACTTACAGTAAAAATGATGTGATTTCATACGCCGATAAAAATTGAAATTTTTTAATATATGCGCATACATAATGGAAAAAGTTTATTGCTAGCTATCATTGTCTAATCTCTATGCATACTATTTAAACTTTTAAGAATCGTGTGCTCAAATAAAAAAAAAAATTTTTTTTTTTTTTTTTCATTTCAACAACCATTTTAATAAATGATTACGATATGTATGTGATTATTGATTAAGAATTTGGGAATCTGCAAGAGAAGTTCTGGTCTTATCTTATTATAAAAAAAAAAAAAATTAAAAATAAAATGATTAAATAATAAAATAAAATAAAATAAAATAATATAAAATAAAATAAAATAAGATAAAATAAAATAAAATAAAAAATAATATAATATAAAATAAAATAAAAATAAATAAAAATAAATAATAATAATAATAATAATAATAATAATAAATAATAATAATAATAATTGTACTGAAAAACCGGTCATTTTAAAACAGTCATACAATTATTTCGGAACGAAATTTTTTATGATAATAAAAAAGATAAGCGACTGAAAATCACTAAAACATGATTTGTTTTCATTTTTTATTATTTTAATTATTAATAATAATTTTGTGACTTCTTAATGAAAAAGTGTGATCACATCATAAATACCATTAAGGCAACAATCATTTTTTATATTGTTATATGTAAACTTACTACGTCGCGTTTTTTTTCCATTGTTATTTAACAATGGAGGTTTTTTGTTTCATGGGCATCTTATTTTAAAAAAAAAAAAAACACTAATTTTGTCGATTACATATTAATGTGATATAAACATATTTAACTGATGTATATAATATAAATATATAATATATATGTGTAATCACTTAAATGTACATACATATGTATGTTATATATGCTGATGACGTGGCGTTTCCCGATGTAGGTTCAATGTTAAATAGATAATTGTACATCCCTTGTGCCAATTGTATGTGATATATAAATACTTATACAGTATCTACATAAAAATATTTTGTAATTGTTTGTTAACATTTTTGAATGAGGGTAATGAAAGTGTAGCCATACTTACATCAAATAAACCTATTTTGGATAAATTTGGATCATTTTTATTATTGATTTTAATAATAATGTTCGGCATATATATATATATGGTACTATTGTTATTTATAATAATTATTGTTAAAGTTTATAATAAAAACTGCGGCGAATATATCTTATTGTATCGGATATCGGAAGTAATTTAAAAAAAAAAAAAAAAAAAAAANTCACTGTAATGTACATATTGTTTGTTAACATGCATGAGTAATGAAAGTGTAGCCATACGTACATCTACATCAAATAAACCTAATCTGGGGGCGGTTACTGTATATTGATTCTGGGGTCCGATTAATCATCATCTGATTTGTACCGTAATCATTTGTAATCATCCGGAACTATGACTTCATGGAATCCGAGCTAATTTCACATCGGATCAAATGTATAACCATCTGGGCATATAGTAATGATCGGCATATATATAACAATTAAAAAAAATAGATTGATGATTTTAGATTCGGGAATCAAATAATCAAATATTATCAAAATGTTTATTAAATTAAAAATTTTAAATTATCACAAATCATTAAATCATTTGAACAAGTGTTACTTTAAAAAAAAAACTTTTTATATATTTTTTTTTATTTTATTATATTAGTTAAAATTGTCACTTTGGCTGGTAACCAAGTTATTAAACCTGTCCATCGTTTTTTCGTTGAGGCGTAAACTTTAGTTTGTCGTACATAATAATATCTCTTTTTAATATTTTTAATAAAAAAAAAATAATAATAATCAATTAATCAATTAATTAACTAAATTTATAAGTTATTTTGTAATTACGCGAAATTTTTTATTGATTTAGTTGATTTGTTTGATTTAGCGGAGTGTACAAATTCGTAATTATAAAACTGAATCAACACCAATTAGAATGAACCAAGAACTCAATATAAATTATATAAATTATATATTTATATAATATTGTATTTTTTTTTATATATCCGATTATTTTAAAATCATAAAACTTCATTTATAAAAATCATTAAAAATTAAATTAAATTAAATTAAATTAAAATTTCAATAATTTCAATAGGTTTTAATAAAATAGAAATTTCTAATTTTATATCTTATTTTAGGTCTTTTGAGATAAATAATAAGGTGATATTTTGTCATTTCACAACGCTAGAACGGATTTAATTTCTGCACGTGGTTATTAATAAAATATTTTAAGAATAGAACAGGTTTATTTATTATTTTTTTCGTGTATAAAAATATCTTTTTACTAAACCTTTTTTTTTCTTTTTTAAAAAAAAAATATGTCGAGTTACGACTTGGAAATTTCCCCTGGTGGTTTTTTTTTAAAATGTAGTGTTACGATAATCGAAAACGGAATTTCTCAACTTTAGTCCTCCGCATAAAGGTATGATGGTTTTTTTTTAAAAAAAAATCAACTTTGTGACTTTACTCACTATAAGTCTATCATAAAACTTTAAATAAAATTTATTTACTTAGTGACTTGTCCATTGTGTCTAGGCTGCGCCACAATGCGTGTGTCATGCAAATTATATGCATCATGTTGTGAACTAGTATCATTCAAAAAAAGATTTTATTAAGTATAACGGTCGGATGGAATATATAAAAAGCGTCAAATTCACACCAAAAAAAAAAGAAAATTACTTCCTCTCAAAATTAAAATAAAAAATATATTTTCCCAAACAAACAACAAAATTTCCTATTAAAAAAAAAAATTATTTTCCTTCTCTCAAATAAAAATATAAATAAATATATTTTTTTAAAAACAAACAATAAAAAAAACAAATTACTATTAAAGAATCATTTATAATCTATAATCATGAAATTAGATTTCATTCACTATCATGAGAACGCGGTGATACCACAAAATATTTTGGTGTCCTTACCTTTGAAATTAGAGGCTGACGATTTGTTGGCTAAACCTAGACGGGGGAAGATGCCAACCAGACCCCCAAATAATTTTTTAATATTCAGGACCGCATACACCAGGGTCCTTCAATCTAAAGGACATTGGGATTTAAGAATGAGGGAAGTAACTTCTAACGCTGCAGCTGCTTGGAAGAACGCATCAAAAGAAGTCCGAGAAGAATGTCGGAAATTAGCTCTTGTGGCCAAGAAGAAGCATGAGGAAGTTTACGGTCCACCTCCTCGACAGACCCGAAGACGACGACAAACAAATAAACGTCGTCAACCTAGACGACCAAGTCCAGCTCCGGCTCCAGCCCCAGTTTCACCTTTAATGTTTGAGCCATCTGCCCATAATACGAATATAAATGCATCATTTTATTTTGATGATTTGATTTCTTGGCAAAATATTCCGTATGATATGACATTCTCACCACCAGAAAGTGAACTTGGAGAACCACAACCTCAATTTAACTCCATATACCCACCTATGTGAATTTAAAAAAGCATAGGAACAAAGCAAAGCAATTTTTTCAAATTTTTCGTTTTCTTTTTTTTTTATTTTTTTATTTTCATTCTTCGTTTTCGTAAATATTGGCATAATTCATATAAATATTTTCTTATTTTATATTTTTTTCTTTATATCATTTTTTTACGTCTTTATTATTTAAAAGAACACAAACAAACGCAAACAAAAAAAATTGTAAGATAAAATCCCAAGAATGTAAAACATTTATGTATAAATTTCAACACCTTTTTTTGTAAGATTTTAAAAAATTAAGCCTTCTTCATATGTCGAAATTTCGATTAATATTTATTTATTTATTTATTTATAACAAAAATTATTCGGATACTAAAAAAAATTTTTATCGAAAAATTTTTTTTTTTTCATTTTCATTTCGTTTTTTTTCATTTCGTTTATTTTATTTTTATTTTGGGCGGGCAAGGTACTTTTTTTCATAAGTGTAGAGTTAAAACAGACAACAGGCAAAATACAAATAGATTTTTTTTTTTTTATAAAAATTATTTTTATTTTTATTTCATTTTCGGGGGATGAAAGAAAAAGAAACAAAAAAAAAAAATAAAAAATAAAAAATAAAAAAAAAATATCCGAATATTATTTTTTTTTCTTTATCATAAAGTTGAACAATATTTAAAAGTATGCAGTGAAATGTTGTAAAATAATTTTGTGTATTTCTTTTTTCATAAAGATGATTTATTATTTATTTTCATTTTGTACCTTTTGATTTAATGAATGAATAAATGAAAAATTTTATAAGTTAAAAAAAGGTTAAGACCCAAATAAAAAAATCATGAACAATGATTATTATTCATAATTAAACCAAAAAAGGGTTTATTATTATCTTAAAGATATTTCATTGTTTAAATTATCCTTTATCTAAAAATGACATACTTATTTGTCAGTAGTGTAACATTAAATGAATTACGAAACATTTTAGGGGGGAAAAAGTTTCATTCATTAAAAATTTACGCGGGCGATTGATTCTCAGGGGGGATTTTTGTTATTTTTTTTTTATTCTCCCGCGCAAAATGGTTTGATTGATGATGAGATTTACATACATTCGATAAATTAGATAGGTATTACGATTACGATATGTTTGTTGTTTGAGAAACTTTCAAAAGAGACGATTAAATACTTTATTGGAAATTTTATTTTTCCAAGCTTTCCCCCGCCTTTAATGTCTTTATTCGGAAATATTTGTTTTCGGCTTTGTTATTGTTTCCGAGCCAAGTACCAATTATAAGCTTAATCGTTATCATTCAAATATGGAAATTTTATTGTTTTCATTAATTTTCAATGATCTTCGAAGGTAAAAAACTTTAATATATTGGATGTTATTATAATTATTATAACTGTAATAAACTGTAATGTACTGTTACTTTGTTGTTATATGTAAAAATAAGTAATTTTTTTATTTTTTATTTTTTATTTTTATTTTATTTTATTTTATTTTTTATTTTATTATTTTTTTTTATTTTTTGGTTTTTTATTTTATTTTATTTTATTTTATTTTATTTTTTATTTTATTCTTAATTTTTTTTATTTTTACTCTTATTTTTTATTTTTCATTTTCATTTTTATTTTTATTTTTATTATTATTATTATTATTATTAATGTAATTTAATTTATTTTTAAGTTTAATTTTTATTTGTTCATTTTTTAGTTTCTTTGAACGAAAAATTTCTTTATTAATAATAATGTTTTAAAAATGAAAGAAAAAAAGGCGTTTCATTATTAATTATTGCAATACAAAAAATTGCAATACAAATACTAATATTACTTTTGTTACATTTTCATAACTTATTACTTATGATAAGCATGGTAATAAGCGAGGTCATTGTTTAAATAAACATCATTAAAAGAATCATTGTTAAAAATATTGAATGAAACTTTAAAATCAAATAATCATTGTTCAAATAAATGAATGAAACAAACTTTAACTTCCCACGCACATTTTTGTAATGCAACTTTTTAATTATAATAAACAAACTCGGGGGATAATCGGATACAATGACAATAAAAATATAATACATTGATACAAATGTGGCAAAGATAATTTAAGCTTATTGTTTATAATTTTTTTTACAATGTTGTCGGATTAAATTTTTTATTTTTAATATTTCCATTTTTGAAATCATTCATTGTCTTTTTATAAAGAATTTATAGGTCAAAATAAATCAAATAATTTGTCATTATGCAGGGGGGGTTACATGTAAATCAAAGGGTATTATTAAAATTACCATATTAGTTTCTATTGCCTTCTTTGTGAAAGCTCCCCCCTCAATCCATTGTTGCCGAGTCGATCTACGGAAGGCAAGGAGGTAAGGAGACTATGTCTATTTGTTTACTTCGTTTCCATATAGACTTTCTTTTTTTTTTATGAAAGAAGATAAAGATGGTAACACTTAATCGTTTTTATGCACGTCATTGAAATGTGTGGTAAATAAAGTTACATAACTCATCTAATAGGTGTTTTAAATGCAAAATTTATTAACATTTAAACATTTAACCTCCTTTTTTTATTATGACGTAATAAAGAATGTTTGATATGTAATAAAGAATATATGTAATAAAGAATATATGTAATAAAAAAATGTATGTAGTAATAAAAAAATGTATGTAGTAAAAAAAAATGTATGTAACAAAAAAATGTATGTAATAAAAAAAAAAAAAAAAATTCTCAAAAATCACATAAATCACATTATCTATTGTTTTAGTTTCGAGAGTACAAATGTAAAACAAGTTGTAAAGTTTCATTCAAATAATTTTTTTTTTTTTTTTTTTTTTTTTCTTTAATTTTATTTTATTTTGTTTTATTTTGTTTTAAATTTTGATTTTTATATGAATATTATTTTGGTTAAGAAATTTTTAAATTGCGTAAAACTTTAAAAGTTGGTGAACTGGTGAACAAAATTAGGATAATTTAATATAACAATAATAAAATTTTCTTGCCACATTTTTAATATTATTTACTAATTATAAGATGAAACATCAATAAGAATTAATGCGGAAAAATTAAAGAATTAAAGTTAAGATTAAATCATAATTACAAATATATGATATTCCTTATATGGTGACTTTTAATAAGATTGACCGGCAATGAGGTCGTAAAAAGAAAAGTCAATTTTTAAAATGATCATTATAAATTATGATATAATTGGTATTGATTAGTCGATTGGAATTTTGTTAATTTTGCCCAATTTTTACCTCTAAATTCTGTAATAATCACGTGTTATTTTGTGGTTTACGTATCTTGTTAATTTTTGTCCTCTGGTCAGCACTAAATCCTACAATTTATAATAATTTGATAAAAATAAAAATATTTTTAAAAAGTACTTTATTATATTATATTCATATTCGAATATTCGACAAATCGAAATATTCGTTTTATTCATTTTACATGCTATTTTGATCAAGTGATTGCCTGCACTATGGTTAATTCTCGCCAACATTAACATTACTTGTTATTGTATATTAATATTAATAAATAATTAATGACAAACTTACTGAATACAAAAATAAATTTGTCAAAGATTAAGTCTTTATCATATTACATTCGTATTAATAATATTCGTCTTATTCATTTTCACACTTTCAACTTTTACGTAAATGCTATTCTGATCAAGTGACCAATTTGACAATCTCGTATAATTGCTATAAATTGTCTGCCTGCACTATGGTTTAATTCCCGCCAACATTAACATTACACACTGTTATTGTATATGCATGAAAAACTTTTGAATACAAAAATAAAATTTCGTCAAAAGATTAAGTACATTATCATATTATATTCGTATTCGTGATATTCGTTTTATTCATTTTACACTTTCAACTTTTATGTAAATGTCAAGTGACCAATTTGACAATCTCATATAATTATAATTGCTATAAATGTCTGCCTGCACTATGGTTTAGTTCCCGCCAACATTAACATTATGCACTACCGTATTCATTAGGCCGGACCAAGCAAAAAGTATGTTCCCCCTGGGTCGAGCAGTTGTTCTTGAACAACTATAAATATCATTATCACGTGATTAATTAATTTACAAACGATTTCACATGCAGTACCACACACATAAATAAGAAAATTTCTCACAACCCTTTCGTTACTTATACGAAAGATAAAATCGGAAATTTCAGCATTTTACCATTTGTATAAATGAATCAGCAATTTACCGTATATACAAATGAATTACCCAATTTACCGTAATACATAAAATAAATTTACTTTACGCAATTTGATTGTTTTTTTTGACGCGTTACTAATTTTTCAGTATGCCGTATTTTTTTTTCAGCGTTAACGAAGGTTAAAAAAATATTCAGTCAAAAAATCGTTAGAATTGACTCAAATACAGATACTTTTAAGGAAGTGTATAATGCAATTACAAAAGATTTATTTTTACACGAAATGTTCATGTTTACGTGATAATAACGAAGAAGGGTTATATAATGAACTTTGTTTAATTGTTTGATTTCAGAGTTAAAATTAAAATATATAAGATTTATTATTCAATCGGAGGAAGGTAATGGTGAAAGTAGTTCTAGAAATCAAGTGATTCAACAGAATAAAACAAATATTTTTGACACCATGATAGAAAGGGCTCGTCAACTCTTACTTTCCTATTCAAAAAAGAGAGGATACTCGACATAATATTTTATACAATGATGTTATTACTTTATTGAGAAACATGGATGGATTGAAGTAAATTCAGAGTCATTTGCTAATAAATTTGCCCTATAAAAAATTTTTTAGAAAATTGATCACATATCGGAGTTTTTTTGAATGAAAACTAAAAAAAATGATCATTTATCAGAATTTTTCCCAGAAAATTTTTTATAGGGTTGTGGAAAGGCTAGTTGCACTTCCAGGGAGAAACTAATTGCTCGATCATTACAATTACCAGATATATTCAATGAGTTAGAGCAATATCAACTGAAGAACTTTTTAGATTTTATGAGTTTTTTATCTTGATGAATATACGCCGCATGATGTAATACAAAAATACAATTACATCAAAAATTCGCAACTTAATGTTCCTGTGACAATTTATAGCATTTATCTTGGAACTATTAACTATATTTGGAAAGTTCCATTAAGAAGTGACCATCGATCAGAAACAGAAAATGCGCGTGTAATAACAGCAATTAATTGGAAATTTACCAAAATGTTATACACGTCAGATGCGCAAAAATGCTTTAAAAAAGTGAGTTTTTTTATACAATGCATCACTAGTGAGTACTGTAATTAATTTTATAATAGGCGAAACTAATGCAATTTTGCAATTTCCTTCAAGTATTAAAAAGGATACACCAGCCGTACTTCGAACTTTATATTTTAACTTAACTGGTGATGCCTATAAATAATGTAATTAGCAAGAACGTTTACGTATAATGATGCTGTTGATCCGGCACTAATAATGGATTTAAAGGAAAACTGGGATGAAATGGGAGCATATTTTAACGAAGTAGATATTTTAATTAAGTAAAATCTATTTCTATTAGATTTTTATTTAAATAAGTAAATAAATATTTTATTTGCTTGTAGAATACCCTGCAGTTGATGATAGATGGCAACAAGAAATTTTGTATATGCCAATTCAATTCACGATCTTCGTGAAATTATTATACATCGGTTAGAGGCTAAATATGATGTACCATTTATACCATGCAACATCAATATTCCATCATCAATATTTCATCTATTGAATGGATTCGTCTCCAATTTTGGCCAACTAATCCTACTTCTACTCGAGCAATGCATTATAATGGTCAGTTCAATATTAAATATCAAATTCAAGCTAGACAATTACGTAAAGCACACTATTGTGCTTGTCTTTTCCGTTATTTGCGTGAATTTGCCATCCTTTATCATGATTTATTTTATTGCAGCAGATGACAAGCATAAAGTTCTAATCGGAGAAGGTGCAGCTACATCAACTGCTGGTGTACCGCCCGTGTACATAATAAGAAAAGTTTGGTTGGTACAAATTCAACATTAGCAGCAAGTGATCATGAGTTCATGACTTTACAAAATTGTCCCTTACTCCTTCAGTTATTGATGTTCCAACAATTATTGAGGATTCTTTTTATTATGGAAATGTCTTTGTTTCATATAAAGATACTGTTTTTCAACCCAGCAATGCAAATAGACGTGCAACTGCATTTTTCAATGCAATTCAAACACATTATATTTCACATATTCCACCTATTCTATGTCTTTATACTGATAATGGTCATACTACATTTGGGTCAGTTCAAATTTCTCTTATTTGTTTATTTCTTCATAGTGATTTTGATATGCTTATTGCATTACGTATTGCGCCACATCACAGCTGCAAATCCTGCAGAGCGAATCATGTCAAGGAGTTGCAATTATGAGAGATATTGAGTAAAGAATTGGAAGATATATCAAAAAAGTTGACACATTAGAAGAAATTCGTGCAGCTGCAGCTAAAAATGAAGATCTAAAAAAATGGATTACGTGATTGTATACTTAATATTCAACAGTTGTTACATTCACGAACTAAAAGATTGATATTACATGAAATCCTTTTTGTTGTTATGATCCTGCAAGTGATCATGATATTGATGATTTTTTTAAGGTATTTGTTTAATTTTAAAATATTAATTCATATTACTGTATATTTATTGACATATAAATTATTACACAGATTATTCTTGAAATTGATAAATCATTAAATGCATTTGAAACAACAGCAGAACTATTATCAAGGAAAAAGGATCTTCAAATCACATTGTAGAATTCGTCATTATTCATTTCAAATAAAATTCCATTGCTTTTTTTTGTATTTTTTATTTTTATTATATATTGAATTCAACGAATTTAACAATTCTGTTTTATTATTCTATAGATTAATAATGTTAATTGTAATGTTTGTAAACAAGTTCGGCTTCCTCAGCATATTTTTGAAAATATAGTTTTTTTACCAGATCCTATTCCATCAATATGCAAGTATATTCTTTTTATATTATATATTTTGCTTTTATTTAAATAATTATTAATATAATTTCTATACGAATTTTAACAGCTAATACTGATTGTTATAATACTGAAATATCTGAGAAATATCGTCCTAATGGCAGTTATAGAACCACCAGCTATCTTAACAAATACCAAAGTTCGTGATATTATCCAATGCTTTCATGTGAAAAATTCTGATGTCTTTATAGTGAAAAAGCCTTAACAGACGTGAAAAATCTGAATTCAACACGTTAATGATGGGATTATATTTTATTTGTACATGAAAAAATCACATGTGAATCACCAATAGAACTAGCTTATTATTCATCACGAAAAAATTATATTCCCGTATGTTATTGGTGTGGAGTTAATAGATATTCCAACGCATGTATCATCAAAATATAAATTTGTATTTTTTGTAATATATGCCAAACTGCGGGTAAAGAATCCTTTGGAAGAATTGAAATTAAAACTTAATACTCGAAAAGAAAAAGAAATGATTTATAAGTTTTATGGTAGTTATTGAAAACATAAAGAAGACTAATAGCACTTGATCTAAATATGTAGTAATAAATTTTTTTACATGTGATAATAAAAAACAACTTTATATTGTTATAAAATTCTGTCCAAAATTATATTTGTTCAACTCACTTATTGTTATTTAACTCCCTCTAAGGCTGTGCAGTAGTATTATATATTATGTTAAACACGCTTTTCGCTTGTTACTGTATATGAATAAATAATTAATGGCAAACTTACCGAATACAAAAATAAATTTGTTAAAGATTAAAGTATTTATCATATTACATTCGTATTCATAATATTCGTTTTATTCATAACTTTTATGTCTGATCAAGTGACCAATTTGACAATCTTAGGATTTCCAAAACGAAATTCCAGCCGAAAGTCTGAAATTTTCTGGCCAGCATTATGGCCCGCATTATAAATTTTGCGTAACAATTCTTTCCGGCGGCTAAACTTTTATCCTATGACACGTGATACATGATTCTGGCCAGCACTAACAAATTTGGCCAGAATTATAAAATAGTTTCGAACATTGATCTCAAGTTTCGGCCAGAGTTTCGTTTCAGATTTTGGAACTTGCCATGTTTTCGTCAAGTTTCGGCTACATGTATAGCCTGCACTATGGTTTAATTCCTGCCAACATCAAACACCGTTATTGTATAACAGGAGGTGTGAGGGTGTACAATATTAACGTACAAACTGGCCCGAGTTTAGGAGTAATGCACTTGCACGTATAATTCATGACAAACTTTTTGAATACAAAAAAAAAATAATTTTGTCAAAAGACTAAATAAATTATCATATTATATTCGTATTCGTGATATTTATTCGTTTTATTCATTTTACACTTTCAACTTTTACGACAATCTCATAAATATAATTGCTATAAATTGCCTGCCTGCACTATGGTTTAATTCCCGCCAACATTAGAATTACACACTGTTATTGTATATGAATAAATAATTCATGAAACCTTTTTGAATACAAAAATGAAAATTTCGTCAAAAGATTAAGTACATTATCATATTATATTCGTATTCGGTGATATTCGTTTTATTCATTTTACACTTTCAACCTTTTCGTAAATGTATTCTGATCAAGTGCACTGACTTGATTAGAATAGCATTTACGTAAAAGTTGAAAGTGGAAAAGTGAATAAAACGAATATTATGAATACGAATGTAATATGATAAAGACTTAATCTTTGACAAATTTATTTTGTATTCAGTAAGTTTGTCATTAATTATTTATTCGTATACAACTGATAACGCTAACGGCGTGTAATGTTAATGTTGGCGACTATAGTATAAGCAATTATATAAGATTGTCAAACAGGTCGACAATCTCATATAATTGCCTGCACTATGTTTAACTCTCGCCAAAATTAACTTTACTTACCGTTATTATCTAGAATAAATAATTCATAACAAGCTTTTTTGAATACAAAAATAAAATTTATCAAAATTAAGTGCTTTATCATAATATATATATTAGTATTTGCAATATTCGTTATATTCATTTTACACTTTTACGTAAATGTCAAGTGACTAATTTGAAAATCTCGTAATGTATAATTGTTATAAATTGCCCGCGCTATGGTTTAATTCCCGCCAACATTAGCATTACACACCGTTATTGTACATGAATAAATAATTCGTGAAATACTTTTTTGAATACAAAAATAAATTTGTCTAAGAATAAGTCTTTATCATATTACATTCGTATTCATAATATTCATTTTTCCACTTTCAAACATGCTATTATAATCAAGTGGACAATCTCATATAGTAATTGCCTGCACTATGATTAATTCCCGCCTATTTATATACAATAATTTCATGACACGTATTTGCATTTACTTGGTTAAAAATCTGCTGTCCGTTAAAATGCATAAATTATACAATTCTACTAAAATTACGCCAAATTTAGTATATTATGGTATAGGACATATGAAAATAAGTACAAAATTTTATATTTTAAATAAGAGTGTATATTTTGAAAAGTGTTATATGCAAAAATAGAAAAATAGGTTATATTAAAAAAGAAAAAATATAAATTTTAAATAAAATCCTGAGGTCATAATTATGTAAAATTTTCTATTTAAAATGTATATTTAAAGATGGGTTATTTAGGTGGATCGGCTCACGTAATTCCGCATGAATTAGTTCAGAATATGTGAATTCTATGTGGATCTACGTTGAAAATACCATGTGTTTTGTCACAGGGATATTTGGAACTATTATATAATTCCATAATATTTGATGTGGATTTCCATGTGGATTTTATGTGGAAAATTTTCTGATGAAATCAGATTGGTTAGGAATTGCGAAACATGCACCGAAAAATATTGGATTTATTAAAAGAACTTAACATTTAAAAACAAATTACAATTTAATATTATTAGATAACTAAATATTACAAATCATACCAAAAAAACATATGCTAAAAAAAGATATAGTAAAAATGTAAAATGATTAAATTTATGAAACATATGCTAAAAAAGATATAGTAAAAATGTAAAATGATTAAATTTATGTATATTTTTAATTAGTACTATATATTATAATTATTCTGGTAGTACTCATGAATTAAATATGATAAAAGAGATTATAGTATATACATACAGTATATTCTTAAACTTAGTCCGTTTGGTGATCGGTTTGAACTGGCATTTGGAGATGTTACTAAAATTAAAACAACTAGTCCTACTATACATTTCATTAAATAATCTATTCTTATTACTAAAATAAGATTGTTCCGAATTTACATCATGCCTTGTCATCTTTAAAAGAAGTCAACAATTTACATTATTTATTGTTATTGATTGGTTCGAAATTATCAATCAAAACAACGCTATTAAGTAACGAACATTAAATTTTCACTTCTTATCAAGCTGTATTCAAAAATGAAAAAAAAAATATTAATAGAACATTGCAAAAATTAAAAAGTAAAAATCAAAAGTAAAAATACCTTAATTTATAGTATTCTTGAATTCAATGATCAAAATTAAACCAATATTGTCTGAATTAAAAAAATAATGCCGAATTATTCTTTCCCTTTACATTTTCTTTTATATTAGATTTTTATTTTATAGTGGAACTTATTACACAGTATAAAACACAAACCAATGTAAATTACCAGTATATGAAAAATACATAGAAATTGTATCATGTGATCTGTAAATTCTGATCAAAACTATTTATAATGCTATCTTAATTAACTTCGCATTAATTTCGGCCCGTATTTATGTATTATACAATAGTCTAATAGCGGCACGTAGTGCCGCATTAGACTATTGTATAGTTTAAATCATCCAATAATAATATTATCGGTTTGACGGGACCGTTCATGCAATTATTTCATGGGGAGTTGGGAATAATAGGGTTTTTTCCCGAAGGGAAAAAACCCTATGTTCCCTTCCTGAAATAAATGGTAATCCCCTGGAGTGTGTCACTCATTATTAAATTAACTATTTTAAACTAAAATTAGTAATTTCCCGGCTATCTATATGAGACCGGGAAATAACTAAACGAAGATTTCCGGTCATTTATAAACTCAGCTAATTTTTTAAAATTAGTATGAAGGTGATCATGAGAGACACTTAGTGCGATAGGGGATTATTATAATAAACTTCCCGTTACTATCCAATAATTTTATTATTATAGTAATATAATAAGAGATAACCGACCTAAATAACAATTACGTATGTAAAATCTGCATGAACTTATGAAGATAACTGATAATTTAAATTACAAATGACAAATGGCCTTAAAAAATAATCAGGTTTATTAAATAGGGACGTTGAAATATTATCCGAATTCCGGCTGTTCAGACTTCAGAGGTCATTTCAAAGTTTTCAATGACCTGTTCACTAGATGAACTCCTCCTCCAAGTCTTTTCTAACTTATCTCGTTCTAAATACTTAGAGTACTCTGATAATGCTGTATACAGCAGTATTCCCCAAAAAATAGTAGAGAAGTGAATAGTATCCCCTACTAATTCGGCCTAAATTTTGATATTTTGGACCAATTTACGCCTTGTATAGTACCTTTCTTCTCGCATATTAATCCCGAGGGTACCATTCAATCTAATCTAGCCTTTCCTTAAATAAGATCTGGGGTACTACATGCAGTGCTACGACAGTTGGTAGTTGCAAGTACTTTTTATGCGTAGCGCACATGTTTAATGATAAAAAAAAAACGAATTTTAAGGGAGATGAACATACATAACCTTTCATGACATCTCAATATTTCCTAACTGGTTGTAATTCAGCGGCTGCAATCATTATAAAGATGGGTTATCAAATTATTTTATAGTAAAAATTAGTCATACAACATATCTGTTGTAAAATAAAATATTATATCCGGGAATTTAACGGATCTTTGTAATCCAATGAGAATTGGACGATTAGACGCGTTTTTGATATAAAAAAAAAAATACGTTACTGTTGTTGCCTTTTTTCTATTTTAAGAATCAAAATCGACTGCGCAAAACATAATCTCATGGTAATATAATTATTTAGTCAGCTAATGTTTCAACTAAAAAATTTTTTTTTATAAAATTTTTTTTATAAAAGCGCCTTTCTTCTATTTTAAGAGGCAAAATCATTGTTCTTTTATGACAAATGACGAAACTTTTTATTTGGCAAAAGGATTTAAGATATTTCTCAATATCAAGTGATCATATGACCATATTTTAACGATCCCCACTTATATAAGATTGGGCTAGTAAAACATTTTAAAAAAGGAATAACTCTCATGGTAATGTAACCATGCAGATTAAACATGATTAATATACAAATGATGGTCACCCCATATTTATTTATGCATTGCCAAGTGCCAATTATTGTATTTTAATATGAAAATTGCATGAACGTATTGAACAGCCCCAAAAAACCCAACAAACCCAACAAAACCGACAATATTATATTGGATGATGCGGCGAGTGCCGCTATTAGACTATTTGTAGATTGTGATCTTTTTTTAAAAAACAAAAGAAAAATTGTTTATATGATTCATCTTTTATCAATATTATTCTTATGGCGTTCTTATAACTTCTTTTTATTCCCCATCACGTTATAATATGGAAAAAATTAAAAATGAGAGATATAGTAACGAAATTCCTGAAGCGAAATATTCGTGCTGGAATTCTTTTAACAGAATTGATGCACTGTATTATTCTGCGAGATATTATAATAATTTATCAATACACATGAAAATTCGAAGGAATTTTTCCAGTGTGTTAGGTGACCATATTACGATTTATTATTTTCCTAAAACTTCCTAAACCCAGGACAATGTTGTTATACGGATCTACTGTTATATAAGCTGTATATTAACAGTTCCTTACGTATTCTGTTATACTGTTATATAAGCTGTATAAATATTCAAATGATTGTTTTTTTATGATAAAATCAAAATAATTTATTAATCTTAATAAAAAAAAGAGTGAAAACAAAGTGGTAATTATATATCTTTTTTTGCTTAACAAAAGAATCAGTAAAAAAAAAGAATTCAGGAGAAAAAAAAAATTCATTGTATATACACCAAATTTTGATTTGGGAATTATTGTGGCGCTGTCCTCTAAACGCCGTTAAAAGGCATAATTTTGACTACAACATAATTTAATTATTCTGCAACATTTCTAAATAAGAAATTCTATAAGGATTTAAATCGAATTTTCTTCCTCCCTTTCATACCATACGTAATTCAAAATTAACTATTTTAAGCAAGTGATCATCCCGGTTTTCCATGGGAACTTTCCATAAAGAAATGATTCTTCAAAAATTTCATTGTTTTAATTATTCTAAAAAAGAAATAAAATATTTTTTTTTTTCACTTCCTAATTGAACGAACGATTGCTCGCTATATCAAGAAAAAAAAAAAGTATATAAACCCTCGAAAAATAAATGTGTATTTAATTAAACAGATTCTTTTTTTCCAAAATAATATAATATATATAATAATAATATAATATTATATATTAATATAAATATAATATTAATATTAATATAAACTGTAATATATAAATATAATCTCCATATTTCAGAAAAAAAAAAAAAATGGTTCGTAAAATAAAAAACACCGGTAATAATGTTCCTGAGATTGTTTTTTCATTAGTTCCACCCGAAGAACAAGGACAAAATTCGTCGACTCAACATTCTAAAAATAATAAATCACATAAAAAAAGAAAAAATAGAGAACAAGAACAAAATAAAAGGAATAATTTACCAACAATTATAATTACGGATTTATCAGATGATGTTCAAGATAAAGGATTGACAAATTCAAATTCAAATTTGAATAAGAAATTCCCTAAAAACATCATAAATATCGAAGATAATGAGATAATTTCAACAAATCACGATTTTGTCGATTTTGAACACACGTTTAATGAAAATCAGAATATTTCAAATGGCTCATCAAATAATTTTAATATTAAACAACAAAAAAAGGGGGAATCAATTAAAAATAAGAATTTACTTTTAAATAATTCATCAAGTAAAAATCTTAAAGCCAATCAACTCTGGAAATTTTTAAAAAGAAAATTCCTAATTAAGGGATACGATTTACAATCAATCAATTAAACGTTAAAAACGTGTAAATTATTATTATTCTTTTTTAATCTCATTTTGTATCATATAAATAGTTTGTTTTTTTTTAATATAGATTATCATTAAAGTTAACATAAATGATTTTATTTAAACCATCTTATTCTCGTTCTGAACTCTCTCGTCTCATGAATATTTGAATGACTGAGATGATACGATTTACTTGATTTTACTCTAAATGTGGTCGTATAATATTACTATGATCACTTTTTTGGTTAGGATAATCGGCGTATTAAGCCATCCCTGCGGCGCGTGATATATAGAATAGAGAATTTAAAAGGTTTTTTTTTAAAAAAAAAAATTAATAAAAGTGCATACGTACATTCGTGAATTCCAGAATCTTTTTACGCGATAACATTTAATATATGTATATATTAGTATTGTATATATTTATATAAAAGATTACCTTAATCTTACTTGGCCCTAATAATTGACTTCTTATTTGTTTCAAATGGAAAATGGTGAAGATTGATAATGAATTCACGAAACATTGCATCGATGATAATTGTACATGTGATTGTAGAATAAATCTCAAGGGATGTCCTAACGAAACATTTAATTTTATCGCACTTACAGTTTTAATCCCATTTACATTTATTATTGTAATAATATCATTATTATTCCTTTATTATCGAGTTAAAGTAAAAGGTCAATCGGTTTTTTTTCCTGCAACAAGAGAAAGAGGTAAAGTTTAATTTCTCTATAATACCAAAAAAGCGTCACTTAATATTAATATTTTAATCTCATAATTAGGATTGATTCGTCCACGTCCTCAAGACTCTTTTCATATCGCTGTAGGAGTATTTAATTTTAGTCAAATGATAGTATTAATGTTATTAATTACAGATTCTTTTCCAAACGTTACATTTGCAGAAATAGTTATTCATATTCCAAAATTACTTGGATTTTCATGTGCGGTTCTTTATCCTATAAGTATAATATATTCTACTCCAATACTTAAACAAACAACTTACTCTTTAAGAATTCAATGGAATCCAAATAAATATTTCATCGATGGACTTGCAATTTATTTAATGATAGGTCCTTTATTAACAATAATTCCACTCACTGCGTTAACCGGTCATTTTGCAGATTTGAAAGATAACAAAAACGCCGAATATATATTTATGATTCAAGCTCTAACGTGGAGTTGTTGGACTATTCAATATTTTGTAACTTTATTATACGTTTACTATAAATTATTTTTTATGTTGAAAGATTATATTGATATATTACAAAGAAGACGAGATGAAAATTTTGATGCTGAGTTGAAAATAAAAAATTTAAAGAATGCTTCTCATAATCTTTCTTGGATTGTTGCTGCCGTATTTTTAATGTTTTTTATAAATGGTTTGGAGGGAATTCTTGTTGGTTTTAAATATAATGAAAATCCAGTTGAAGCGAACAAAAATATTTGTCAATTTTATTATTTTATTTCTTGGAATTTTACTATACCAGTTCTTACTTTTATTGGCCAATTGATATTTCTTTATGATACATTAAAGAACAGAAAATCTACTCAAAATCAACATAGTAATACTTATGATCGCGTAAATAATATTCCATCCCGTTTAGAACAAAATTCTCGTTTAATTCAAAAAAGTAGAGAATTATCAGATGATTTTTATTCATCTCAATCTATTCAAAAAAGTAAATCTAATAAATCATTATTTACAATTAATAGTAATAGTACAAAAAAGTATAGTGTTAATAATTCTTCAGTAGATGTTAAAAAATCACTTTTTTCAACAATGGCAACTAGTATAACAAGTTTAATTCATTGGGATGATTTTGCTGAAAAGTCAAGAAATAATACTAAAGATTTAGATAATTGGAAATTTTTTGATTCTGATGTTAATTATTATTTTGAAAATTCTGATAATAATGGTGATAAGGGTAAAGATAAAATTATAAAAAGCGGTCATAATACTATTGTTATTCCTAGTATAAGAAAATCTTGGTTAATTAAAAAACCAGTAAGAAGTGCTACTTCTACAATGAAAAATACAGTCAATAGAAATTTATTTTTGCAGGATAATTATTAAATTACTTATTTTTATAATTGTATATAGATTAAATAATATATTAAATAGTATTTTCAATTAGAATAAATAGTTATTATTAATTTATTATTTTTAATATTTAATGCTCAATATCTGCAGGTCGGGTGGGTGGATTCAAAATTAATTGTGTTATTATAGTACTATGTGAAATCCATATGCCAACGGGGGCATTAAATTAAAAAAAAAAATTTATTATTTTAATCTTTTTCTATAGTAATTTAATTATAGTATTGTATTAATTATTATTATAAAAATTTTTTACATAGTAAATTTAATAATAGTAAAATATATAAAATGCATTACTACATATTAAAATTGATTAAATTTAATAAAAAAGATATTAAATTTATTATATAAAAATTTATCCAAAATCTTTAGATAAATAATTTATATATATAAAATATTGTAAAATTAAACATTTTTTCTTAATTTTAATATTATATATAGTTTAATTATTTCTAATTTAATAAAATTTTAGTTATTTATAATAGATAATACCATTAAAATAAGATTTATATAAAAGTTAAAAGTTAAAAAAATAAATTTATTTAAATTTATAAGGTAAATTTTTTTTAATAAAATAAGTTGAATAGTAATTTTAAGTTAAAAAATAATAATTAATTAATTAATTAATTAAAAAAGGTAATTTTTTAAAAGAATAAAATCACAGGTACTAACCGGATTTCCATCAATACTTATATATGAGGACCTTCCAATTAAAACTACAAGTTTCAAAGAAAAAGAAAAAGAAACCTAGAATTACTAAATGACAACTTTAATAGAATTGAAGATAATAATGAAAAGGTAATAAACAGAAGGTGACATTTAGGAGGCTGGATAGTTTATTTATTGAAAAATTAATTTCTTTTTAGTTTAGATTTTTGTTATTTATTATACAGATAGAAATTTTTATTTTTTTCAGAAATTTTACTTTAATTAGTTACTGCTAACTACTAAGCACTAATTCCTTTTTTTAGCCTAATTCAATGCTTATAAAATATATTTACTAGCAGGTAGAGAACTGATTTATTATATAATTCTAACCTACTAGAGAATTTAATAAAAATAACCTATTTTTTAAGAATAATAAAAAATAAAAAATAAAAATAATAAAATAATAAAATTTACTTATATAACTAATAGTATTACTAATTTTAACTGAAAAGAAAATTAATTAAATAATAAGAAATTACATTAATTTTAATACAATCCAATTTTGAAGTTTAACTAAAAATTATGTAATTCTATATTTCTATTTATTAATTAATTTTCTCTTTAGTTAAATATGGTTATTTTCTAACTAATAAATTAATTTATTTTTCAAAAATACAATAATTTAATTAGTAATAAAATAAAATTTATATATATTTTTTATATATAAAGTAAATTTAAATTCAACTTCTATATATAAATACTTAAATCTTATCTTTATTTCAAAAAAGAATAAATTTTAATCAAAATTAAATTTATTTTATAATTTAGTAAAAAAAACTGAAAAAAAATTATCAAATAAATTAAAAATAACATTTAAAACAGGTAAAATATATATAATATATAATTTTTAAAAAAATTATTTTATAAATGGCAATTTCTATTTGTACACAGGGTGTTTAAACACAGGTCATATTAGTAGATTAAAAACAGCATTCAAAACCTCTTTAATGCCTTAAGTAAACTTGCAGAGCAGGTGAAAATACATATATTTATCTGTAATATAATAAGAATAAAAAGTAAAAGAGTATAATGTCAGTAGCATTCAATTTCAAATTATAAAACAAAAAATTAGTCTATTAAAAATTATATTTATATGACCTGTGTACAAACACCCTGTGTAAACTTAGAAATTTTCTTTATAAATTTATTACAAAATATAAAATTTAAGTATTGCATATAAAATATATATTTATTTTTTATTTATATAAATGCTTTCAACTAAATAAAATTTTCTAATAAAACTTATTTAAATTTTAAAAAAAAAAATAATTATATTTCTTATTACATTATTTACATGATTTTTTTATTACATAAATTAATTTTTTATTTTACTTAATTTAAATATATATATTTTTTAATAAATATTATTTTACTTTAATAATTTTTATTTTTACAATTAAAATTTAAAAATTTCTTTTATATACTTTGCATTTATACTTTTATTTAATAATTACTTTTATCATAAATCAAGTATAATGTAATTTGAAAAGGATTTAATTTATATTTATAATTAAAAAAGATATTTATTAATTTGCTATTTTGAAAAATAACAAAGAACAAATATTGAAAATATATTGTATTTACAATATATATTATTTTAAAATAATACTAATAAGATAATTAAATAATAAAAAAATATTTTTATAACTAAAATAATAAAAGAAATATTTTCTAATATACTAATTATTATTTTTACAATATAATATTTATAATAAATTACTTATTTTAAAATAATTAATTACTAATTTCCTATTATATAATTAATTTTATTATAAAATACTTTCTTTTAAAAAAACTAACAATTTTTTTGTTAAAATAAACATTACTTTTATTATAAATTAATTATTATTTTATATTTATTAACTTATAATTATGTTAATTTTAGATACTACAAATCATTTTTTAAAGAAATTTTATATTTTATAAATACTTTAAGTCATGATCTGCAAATGATTGGCATCAGATCATATGAGTAAATTTGGGAATAAGATATATTATAACCAGTTGTAATAAATTTAAATCTCTCATTGACAACCTTTAAAAACTGTCATAATGGCTCAAACTTTACGTGTTACTTTAATAAAACCAGGAACTATAGTTCCTAAACATCACTATGGACCTTATTCTTTTTATTGGTGAATAATTTCAAATGAAAATGAAACTTTATTTCCGATTAGGCTGGGACAACAGACTAAAGTTTGTCTTAACGAAGTAAATTTTATTTTAACTATATAAACTGGTTCTGGTAATAACAAATTAATGCCAATGTATTGTTGTCAAAGTGGTTTATATGTTGTTACAAAGCTAAATTCTACAAAGGCTATTTCTACAGCTTATAAAAACCGTTTCAATACTTCAACACGCTATTCAGGGTATCAAGCAATGGGTTGGAATGACAAAAATATCCTTGAAACTTTAAAACAAGATATTAAACATATTCCCATTACTGTTAATGTAGAAAATTGTATAATTTTTATTTATGGTATAGGGACTTCTTCACGCAAAAAATGGCGTTATGCAAAATCAGGTTTTCAATTATCCCTTCTTCATATATATGAAAGAAAGCAGTCAATTTTTGTATTATGGATTGAGGAAAAATAATGCATTGTTGAAATTTACTGAGAATCTACTTTAATAAAACAATTTAAAGGCACAACACCAGATGAAGTGTGGGAAAAAACAGGATAACTGAAAAAATTTACCAGTACACAACTTTATGGTTTTGATAATCCAATTACAAAAAATCTAATTCAGCAGCATCAAACTCAATGCACTCTTAATGACTGGAATGATGAATATATTTTAAAAAGGTTATTTGATTATCATGTAAAAAGAAGAACTCTGACAAATGCTAATTGGAAATATTTTTTTACAAGTTGGGTTAAAACTGAAAATCCAATAATTGAATTAGAACCTGCTTTGCATGCTATATATCCAAAAAGATATGAATTTAATGAACGTGAATTAAGTGCATGGCAAACCATGCTAAAAGCAGTTGGTGCAACAAATATAACTCCTTGGTTACCTGAAAAATCAAAAGTCGGTAAATTTGTGATATTTTTATTGTTATTTTTTTTATCTTCAAACACTAAAATAAATATTTTTTTATTGGCGTCAATTATGGACAAAATTACCAAATGGAGAAGTAGACAAGGTAGCATTTGCTGCTTTATATAAAAGTGGTTTTCTTACTAATATTCCAAAAAATATACCAAACGCAACACATACATTTTGGATGTGTTTTGAACATACACTTGCTAATATCAAAAAAACTCCTGATGGAAAAAGACGTATACTTTCTATAATTTCCAATGAGTTTACCTATGGGAAACTAAAATAAAATTTGAATGTAATATTTTATAGTTTTGCTTTATATGTAAAATTTTAATATACATGTTCTTGAATTATTTATTCCTTTATTTTTAAAATTATGTAAATAAACTAGATGTAAAAAAGACAATGAAAAATTTGCAAAAAATTATTACTGATACAATAATGTAAAATTTTATATTGTTTTTATAATAAATATATACAGATTGGTTTACATACTATTGTAGAATCTTGCAAGCATGCACATATCAATGGTTATGGATCCCCTTCACTTGTAAAACCAATAATTTGCTGACAAAGATTTACACCTGAAATATTTGAACAAATTGACAGATTTTTAAATGATAAAGAATTTATCAATATAAGTTCATACAAAACTGATGCAAAATCAGAAAAACCAATCAAATAATACTTACAAGACATGAAAAAAGCATTATAGAAAAGATTTGCAGAAGAGTACTTTAATGATATGCGTCATACATCTTTTATGACATGTCTTGAAGGTAAAGATGGGTCCTCAATTGATTTCCAAAATCCGCAATATTGCGGGTTTTGGAAATCAATTGCGCTTAGTAATCTGTAAACCCACAAATAATTCACAAATCTGCAAATAATTTACATTATCGCAAATTTGCGAATAAGTGGACAAAATTGTCCACTTTTGAAGATTAAATTAACATGATTCATGAGTTTACAAAATGGACAAAATTGTCCACTTTTTAGTATATAAATAAATTTGATTTATGAGTTTACAAAATGGACAAAATTGTCCACTTTTTAGTATATAAAAAATAAATTTGGTTATATTTAATTGCGAAGATTAAATTAACATGATTCAAAATGGACAAAATTGTCCACTTTTTAGTATATAAATAAATTTGATTATATTTAATTGCGAAGATTAAATTAACATGATTCAAAATGGACAAAATTGTCTACTTTTTATTATTTATCGAGTAGAGGATCATCATTATTTTTATTGTTTATATTTTATTAGTAATTACAAAATAAAATTGTTTTTATTACAATTTAGTATTACTAAACAATCTCTTCTGGATTCCAGTCGTTGTCATTTTCACTATTATATTT